TGATTATTTACTTATTTTCTTCTCAACTTAATGTGTTCTGTATTTTATTACTAAGTATGTAAAAAAAATAATAAAACATACCCTTTTCCACATCACATCCTGTATCAGCCCTCGACCAATATCAGCCCTCGGGCCTTCGGCCCTCTGGCTGATATTGGTGTCTCGGGTTGATACAGGATGTGATATGGAAAAGGGTATGTATTATTCTCTATAACATACAGAAAATTTAACAGAAATAGATTGTAATATGACTTCAAGCCACTTCTACTGTTACCTGCGGGACGTTGTTCAGAAATTTTGATGATTTTTCTTTTTTGCGTGCACATGGGACATGTGTACGTATGTCCAGAGCTGTTTTTTGTGTTCATCATAAACAACTTTTAAAGATTTTGTTTTCTTGTTTATGAGCAATTGTTAAAGAAGATAATGATTGTACAGAAAAAAGTAGGAAGATTGTTATTCATATCAAATTTCTTATACAATTATATATCGAGCATGTTTCCTTAATCTATTTTTCTTAATCCTTTTCCGTTTTTAGTCTCAATATGTGAAAAAAAAGTTTCGTATTTCCTTGAACATATTACGTAATTAATTTAGCTATCTTCTATTTTTTATTAAAATTTCTGATATATTTCCGTAAAGCAGTTAGAGCAATTTGCTCAGCAAAGTTTTAGACACATTAATACACTAAATCAGAGTAAAATAGACCATGTTCAGAAAAAGAGCGTCCCAGTTGAATTCACCTTCGAAATTCTTTTTTAAAAAACAATGATCAGCTGTGACTTCGATTTCTTGCAGCCATATTGATATATATTATTTATACAAGTACAGTCGCACCACGTTCAATACGGGAACACAATTTTCTGAACAAATTGTCAAGATTATTGAAACATTCGGCTAATGGAAGCATACTGAGTACTTGGTTTATAAAATCTAAAATTGTCACCCACAAATTTTGTCCGATGTGTCTGGTTTACTGGCTTCCGGATTATAAGGTTCCAGTAAATTCTTTAAGAGTTAATACAACTAAGTAAAAGAAAAAACCAATGCGTACATGTTATTGCAAAGGAAAAAAATATTTATATACTGTAATATATTACAATTCTTAAAAAAGAGATAATAAATTGAAAAGTACGTCATCTTATTCTATATCACATATATGATGCTCTCTTTATTAAGATCCTATTTTTGGAACTTTATTTACTTCCTTCACAAAGTAATTCAGTCATTCATTGAAGACCAATTTAAGCCATCTACAGAAATAAAATTCATTTTGTGGCATTTCGGGAAAGAAATTGGCATTGCTAGAACCTACACCTTATTGATTCTTCCTTAATGTAGTTTAATACTACGTGTTTTAGTGTAAGAAGACATTTATTTAACGGAGAAGAACCACTGAAATCACAATGTACATGTAGATCATTTTTTTAAGTTTTACGACAAAAACTTTTAAAGGATATAATTCCATCGATCTGACATGATTGAAAATCCACTTATGTTAAAAGCCTGTCACTGTTTTCGTTTTATTAAGAGAATGTGACCACTGTCCTTTCTTCTCCCCCACACATTCTTTTGATCTAGACACATGATTAACGACCAAAATTAATATTAATTGTTTCCCTTTCTTATTTTTATTCTTATTCTTTAATTATTTACACAATTTGTTGGAAATGAGTGTTGTATTGGAAGGGATTGCACTATATTTGAAAATTTTAAAAAAAAATGCTGAGAAAAATAAACTTCATTTTTTTTCTGTTCGTATTTTAGGAAAAAATGACTTTCAGGATACTCTAAAATCCATCAAAAGTTTACCTTTTTATGAAACGATATGTGAAGGAAACAAATCGTACCATGCTCAAAAATTCATTTTAATGATACAATTTGTTAATAGAGTTAACATGGAACTCTGACAAAACAGAGGTAAAACCAGGTCCCATAAAAGAGTAAGAATCTCCTGTCGATCGATCGAACCTGCTGTGTGCCTCTTATCAGGTTCACGGAAAATCCGGCATCAATTCAGTGAAATTTATGGCGATAACATACAGAATTCAAGCCCAAAAGTCAATTTACCAATACATATTTTTGAGCAGAGTTAATAGGGACCTCTAAAACATCAGACGTTGGATCAGGTGCAATGAAGGAGTGAGCAATCCTTGACGATAAGTCACATCTACCATGTGCTCCTTGTCATGATCGTAAAATAACGAGAAAATCTGTCGACAATTCAATGTGTAAATAATGGTCTAACATTAGTATGAAATACGCCAGTCAGCATTTGACTTAATAATAAATTGTATAAGTCATAAAGTTTATCACCAATTTTGGTTGTTAAATTACCATTGACGTCTTTTTCTAGTAAAATATTCAAATATAAAACCGATGAGTCAGACTCTGTGGTATTTTTTCTAAATTTTAAACTCAGTGGGATATATGGTATAGATATAAGATTGGAAATAATTACTGAAAATTGGCAGTACGTCGTCGATATATCTATAAGTGAAATTGAAGGCCACGGCAAATGTTTCCTTCTTTTCACGCAGAAATTTGAACAAATTCTGTTTCATATTACATGTAATACAAAATATTCTGCTAATAATTGTATATGGTACCCACTGGATATGGTATCCATTGGATTCCAGTAGATTGTTGGAAGAGCTGTTCTTCACAGAACACACCGATATTGTCAATCAGTTCCAAACTCAAGTATCTTTTTAATATCAACTTCTGAGTACTTGTTTGTACAATCACAATGTTTTTAACAAAAGAACTTTGCAGATGATCAATAACAAGGTATAAGAATATTTTTCAGTTTCGTTTTTTAAAAGCAGCTTTCAATGATATTTAAATGCCTTAAAATTATAGTTAAATTTATTGTAGGGAATGGTTGTATATATAGTTGAATAGTCGTAAGTTTTTATGCTGATTTTAGTAAAATTTTTATTTGAGGTTTTCCAAAAGTTCTTTGGAATTTTTGAGTAACAACAGAATGAAAATGTTGGCTTAAAATTTGTATGTAAGTCCTCATAGCATTTTAAAAATTAAAACAAATATTTGGCCCCAGGGTCAGTGGTTACAGTGGGTTGGGGTGAACAACTGGTGGTTATAAAGTAGAAATGTATTTCTCTTTGTTACTCTGATCTACCTCTGGGTATTAGTAAGCAAAGTAAGCACGCTAAGTGTATAGTTATGATAAATAATGGTGCCTCTTTCAAAATTGTGAATTTAATTGCTTTTGGTTTAAAATATGAACCAAATTCAATTGTTGGAAAGTAGTTACATGATACTCAGGTGACCGAGAAGGCCCGTGGGCCTCTTGTTCCGATCACGATTTTTTTTTTTTATCTTCATTTTAACGTGAATTTCTTTAAGGCAAACTTCGTTGCTTTCAGAATTTAAAAGGGACTTTTTGTCAAAATCTCATATAATCACATTAACTCTATATGTCCTCTATAACTATTGTTCATATTATAACTTGCAATTGACCAGGTTGAGGGATGTATCTGTGCTTTGCATACACATTTATATCTGTGCTTTGCTTATACATTTGTTTTAAATGTTTTTAAAAAAACTCGGAAGTTAGTAACAATTATTAATAACATATATAAAATGGAACTATTTACGACACTTTGACGGTGTTTTCAAGGCCCTATATCTAGTTCTTAATGTACATATGAGAAGAATGTACGGATAAACATTTGTTAGAAAGTTTCTTCATAACCTATAAATTAATTACAAAAACTAAAATCTTAATTTCAAAAACTAAATTTAATGCTTGTAAATTTTATAACAAAGCAATTCGGACAAAGCTTTCCTTCAATCAAAATACTGAATCTTTGCGGATGACACTCTGCAAAAAACTTCAAAAGAATTGATTGTTTATTTAGACTCTCTTGGGTATTATTCAAGTAAGTGAAATCAAGGAACCTTTCTTACCATTCTTTTTGAGTTTTTTATTTGTTTCTTTAACTTCTCTATTCAGACGCCCACTCGACGAGAGGGCTGCACATTTAGACAAGGAAACGTACGTCCTTTGAGTAGTGAGGGTCTTTTCCTGCCAGCAACTACAGTGACATATGGCACCTCCGTTTATACGATTTTATCCAACTGACCGGGCTCCACGTCCAGCAGCTGGAAATTTAACATGCGACCTTTACAGTATTTCCTTACTACGCGATCCTAGAGCAAACGGGCGACTCTTACGAGTTGTTTTTCTTATCTTAGGGGATTTCATTGAATATTTGTAAAGTGTCAGTCGGTCACCGTTATAGTTTATCACTTACCATATAAAATCACTTAAAGAGAGAATCAATCCCTCCCTCTTATTGAGATAACACTCATCTTGAAGGTACGTTCTTATCTAGAGTATCTATGTATGATTCCATGTATATCACATTTTTTATTTTGAAAATGCCCATAGTTCTGCTTTAAACATACGCCATTTATCTTATCTTTTTTGTTTCTGTTTTTACTTGAATTCGTTTGTCATTTGATAATAAATGAAAACAATGTCAAAAATTTAATCTTTTTAACATGAGTAAAAGATAAAAAATAAATTAAAATAATTATCTGAGATTTAATTTCTGTGTCACCTTCAGCGCATAGCGACACTTAAGGACATAAACTTTGCCCGGTACCTGTCTTCCTGTCAGACTGTCACATCTGTTATGGTAAAAACTGGATTTTATTTTTTGTTCATATATCTATTATATTAGAATATTATCATGGCTATCGGCCTTACAACATGTAACTTCCATCAACTTTTAAATTACGCCTTACTGATATGCAAATATATACTTTGATCTCAGAGAGCGGGTCTGTAGAATTTATCAAGAAATTCTAATTACATGTACTAATTTGAAAATTATACCATGCATTCAATATGAGAATCGACACAATTCTTAGACTCAATTTTTAATTTTTTCGTCTTAAATAATGTCATAGTAGGCGATCATTCTATATTTTAACTTAATATCTCTTATTTAATAAACTTACTTAGTAAGATGGAAAGAAAAGGAGCCCTCATATTCATTGTTTCCATATTCCTTTCATCAACAACGTACATAACTGCTAGTACACCCAACGAAAACAAATTTGAAATCCAAACAAGATTGGGGAATGTGATAGGAGTACGCCACACCTCTTTTATGAATAACGGAACCATTTACAAATTTTTCGACTTACCTTACGGTAAAGCCCCTGTAGGTCCATTACGATTTCAAAAACCTCAGCAATATGGAGCGTGGTCAAAAACGCTTAATGCAACAACACCAGGCGCTGTTTGTTTCCAGTCAAAAAACCAGCCGACAACATATCCAGGATTTACTGAAGATTGTCTCAAGTTAAACATTTATGTACCATATGATATAAACTCTTCTAATAACAAATCAGTAATGGTATGGTTTCATGGCGGGGCATTTACATTTGGTTCCGGGGGCATGTTTGATGGAAGTATGATATCTTTAGTAGGAGATGTAATTGTAGTGACAATAAATTATAGACTGGGAATATTTGGATTCTTTGCTTCGAGAAATAACAAGGCAAAAGGGAATGCCGGACTTTGGGACCAGAAAATGGCTCTAAACTGGGTGAGATACAATATTAAAGACTATGGCGGGAATCCCAATGATGTAACAATTTTTGGGGAATCAGCGGGAGGATCCAGTGTGGCCTTACAATCTTTAATACCCAGCAACAGAGGGCTTTTCCACAGAGTAATTGCTCAAAGTGGGACTGCCAATTCTCACCGTGTAGTATCCAATGTAACTTCATCCTCTATTGCAGTTGGCAAGAAAGTTGGTTGTACATACAATTACCACTCAGGGACTGATTATAACTTTGTTGAATGTCTTAAAGCTGTAGATGCAATTGATCTTGTCAAAGCAATGGAATTTGTTTGGATGGACTTAGGATTGAACGCTCTTGTGAAAATTCCTTTTTCGCCGACAGTTGACGGTGAACTCATTCGTAAGGATCCAGTTTACTTACTGACAGACAGGTCATCACCAGAATTCAACTTTTTTCAATCATTGGACACGATGTTTGGAACTTGTGATAAGGACGGCTCCCTAGCAATGAGTCTGCTACCTTTTTATCAATCAAAACTAAACTTTAATTTCAGTGAAGGTGTACCAACTAGTGAGATGTGTAGTACTATAGTACCTGTATTTTCAAATACTCTATTCAACAACAACAGTGCTGTTTCAAATGCAATTTGCAAGAAATACTCTACAAAAGACAACATAGAAGAACAAAGTCGAGAATTTTTACATATGTACGGAGACTCTATGTTTATTGCCCCTGCAGCACTTGTTCTAGAGAATCATGGAAATAGTATTCAGGGAACAACAACTTACCAGTACGTGTTTTCTGATGAATTACCATTAGTTCATCCTACTGAACCTTCATGGTATCGTGGGTCTGCGCATGGGACTGATGTCATTTATTTGTTTTCGTATGAACAAGTTAAAACAAAATATAAGTGGCCCCATGGAGCTGACGTATTAGTAAACCAGATGAGGCGATACTGGACAAACTTTGCTAAGACTGGGTAAACTGATTTAGATTTTTCTATTCCTGTAATTTAATTTCAATTTGAATCTTTATCTGTTTTTATAAATATACGACTTTATCTGGAAGCAAAATTGCATCTATTTCTTACCACTTATTAGGCCTTTGCATTGTTTTCTCTGTTTTTTGAAAACAGAATCTGTCCGCTTGAGGAGGGGGGGGTGTGTGTGTGTTTATTCCTCTTAGACACTGATATCATTTTTGGAAAACGCGAAGGTTCACAGTTTATAGTCAGATATTGTTTGTTATGCGTACCGCTTACTTTTATTAAATATCTTTTTTTTTTCTTGTCAAGAAACCCAAATGGACTTGGTTTGCCATATTGGAACACTTTTGATGAGAATAGCGTACATCCATACATGAACCTCCAATCCTCGATGACATCCATGCGGACAAATTACAGGAAAACCTATATAGACTTCTGGAATGAAGACTTGCCCGACATATTGCAAAATGGGTGTAATTTTAAGACTTGTGTTCTGCCAGCTGTTGGTTAATTTTTCATGACAATACTTTTTCATCTCACAAATAATTTCAAAAAAAAAAAAAAAAAAAAAAAAGAAGAAAATTATTAATTTTATGCAGCTGCAAAACATATACAATGTAGCATGTAAGAAGGGTTATCAAAAAGTTCGTAGACTGAGGCTATAAAATTAGTACTATGTAGTCTGAGCTTACAAAATTTTTATGGAGCATAAAACAACAAAAAATAAAGAAATGTTGAAAATTTTAGCTTGATACGTTCATTATTTCCCAAATTATTATAAAATGAAAACGACATTATATCATCACCCGGCGCCGTTTCCGTTTAGTTTTATGACGTCTGAAAATGTCATTGTTTTTCAATGTCTGCTTCTTCTACCTCATACTTATTTTTATGAGGTTCCCTGGAGCTGAGTAAGGACTTTAATCCGTCGTGTTTATATGATTTTACAATGCCATGAACAGCGGCTTTCAATGCATATAACATTGCAAATGGGTTTATAACATGGCAGAGATCCTCGCTTGATTGTGCCGGCATATTTTGCTTTTTGGAGTTCAATATCTATAACACACGATCAACGTCATTTTTTGACATGATTGATTTTTCACACCTTGACTACAAATTGACATAAACCATGCATTCCTTTTCGCTCTGAATCTATTTTGGCATTAAAAAACAAGTAATCTGGATGCATATTATTTCTCCTTAGCCAGTTTAAATATTTACTAGGTGTATACCAGTTTTTCCAGGGACAAAACTTTAAAGAGTGTTGGAAAAGGAAACCCCTCCCCCCGTTTGACGTCATCTTCAAGGCAACATTTGTGTGGATACTCCATGTAAGATTTACGATAAAATTTCATAGAACTTCCAGAATGAGGTAAAAATTTAATATTTTATGGTACAATAGTGTCCCAACACATCCCTGAATTAACGGGATTTTTGGATGTCAAATCTTCATATCACAATAGTTTTTCTTAGTTATACTTAGGTAGAAAAAAACGTCATTTTGCGCCGCATGGACATACCATTGTTTATAAAAACATTACTACAGTCAAACTTGTCTTAGCGGCCACCCGAAATCAACGGCCACTCGCGGTCAGCGGCCACTTTCAGTTCCCCCCGACGGTTTTTACTACATATTTTAACTGGAATAAACGGCCACCTGTGTAACGCGGCCAGCGGCCACTCAAATCCTCACCCACAGTCTTAGTGACACTGTAATAGGCGGCCATTTCGTCAGTTGTTGCGATTCTATCACGTCTTTTAAACGCATTGGCTTGGTAATTATATTCTTGATAGCCAATTTAACCTATTAGTGCAATTAAACAAATTGCTTTTAGATACGCTGAACTCTGTATTTATGAAAAAAAATATTTCTCCTGTTAGATCAATTTGTAGTTATTTTTCCAAGATCGCCGATTGAAAAATTAAAAGAATTAATTACAATATATACTTTGCTCTAGCTAAAGAAATTCCCACCTTGTAGATTTTGATTCCATGTAGAAGCCCTTGCTACTCTTGTGAAAACAAAGTGCTTCATATGGCATGATTATCTCGTGAATTTCACTACCAAGAGACGATGGATAGGGATTAGTCACGCTCTACTGCATATGACACCTGTGTTTTGGAATAATTTTCAACTGCGTATATACATCTCTCTGGTCAACAGGTTAATTTTGTTTGTCTGTCTGTGTATGTTACATAGAAACTCGGACAGCTTGATAAACAATAATTTTAAATTTACCAGGCTTTATAAACTTCAGCAAGTAAGTTAATTGCCGATTAATTAAGTTGGGGGAGGGGGTTACACTGCTGACCATTTTTGATCATATGAAAATGAAATTTTTATTGACATATTCTTACTTAAATTTCTATGCTTTATTTTATTTACCATTAAACTGTTAGTCTGTATTTTTTTTCTTTATAAAAAAGGATGAAAGTCTGGCACTGTATGTATTTCTTCAAATGAAAATTAAAAGAATTTATTTAATATTTCAATGTAACAAAAGCACACTGATGAATGCAAGATGTTTAACTAATATGTTGGAACAGAAACATGCACAAAACCTTAAACAATTCGAATTCTTTAATATTGTTTTTAAATGAGCTTGAATTATTATATACACACTTAAAAAGCTTTTGTGAAATTGACCTGTTTTATTATTTGATTAATTAATTTAACTGTATTGCTTAATGTTGTTTATTTATTGACCGAATGTCCTTTTCGAGGGCAAACTGGAATAAGAGGCCACCTGTCTTAAGTGGTCAGTTTCAAGACTTCCCAAAGGTGGCCTCTTAAAACAAGTTTGACTGTATTTTTTTCAAAAATAAAATTTGTGATTTGTGATTTATTCTATAGATAGAAAAGATGATGATAACTAGCTATAGATATTTTAAAATTCATTCATGTACCTAAAGCGGTTTTAATTTTATGGCGCTAGTCCACGAACTTTATGATAGCCCCTCGTATTTCCTTGTTCAATGGTAAATCTCAATGTCCTAGCCAAAAAATTTCAATTGTCTACTCTGATATAAGATTATAATGATAAACTTATTTTGCTCTACGTATGTACAATTTCTAAAACGAAATAATTTATCGGCAAACAAGTTGATGAAACAAGAATATCAGAAGTCGCGTTTAAAGTCTTCATTTTGTAAGTTCTATGGTCATTACAATGACCTTGTCAGCAAATACCATTTATCCTCGAATGAAATGCTGATTGACGTTTTTCATTCTAATTGTGAGTCCGTTATTACACACTGAAATGAAGATTTTCCGTCATTTCCCGATCATGACGAGAATCACACGACGGATGTGACTGGTCGACAAGTTGAGACGCTCACTCCTCTATGGCACCTAATCCCATTGCTGTTGTTTTGGAGGACCGTGTTTGCACTGTTTACATTTTGTACTGTTTTATAGACCTTTGAGCTTGAATATTGTTCGTTATCTCCGTATATTACATTGACAAAATACGATTCAAGTTTCAGTTATAAAATGAAGGAAAAAAACTTCGAGAACAGAGATTTTTACCGGTGGTAAATTCCAGGTGAGGGAGGGGCTTATTTTGTACAGGTGTGAATGCCTTAGGGGCTAGCAGTCTACCTGTGGTCACAGGAAGTGATTTTATACACAGTTCAAACTTTACCTGTGTTAGGGATTTTTAGACAATTTTTAATTAGAAGTAAAAAGTTTCTCAGTAATCTATATCGATTTATTTATTTAATGTTTGAAAACACCCGTACCCATTTAAAAAAAATCATGATGATATAATACTAAATATTGAAGTATTACAGCAAAGATTATTTTAGATGTTAGTGTATGTGTTCATTTAAAACAAAGAACCCCCAGTAAAAACCAAAGTAAACTTATTTCATTCATCCCCAGGATCCTATCTATTGAATGAAAAGAGAGCTGTGCTAACTACATTTCATTAAAAATATGTAGGCTTATAATCCTATTCTTTATCACCATAAGACATGCTTCAAAGATTGCTTGTAAATTCTTTTCTGAATGACAAAGAAAACTAGAAAGTCTGCTATTGCAAGCAATAGCGGATGTCGCCCCGAACTGGACAAGACTTTTCATTTTTTCATCAGTGAAACACTACCCATTATCTAAGCTTGGACAACCATCAACTCGTATCAGTCCTTTCAGTCCTTTGAATTAAAAATCAAAGTTAAAGAATTTTCTCTTTTCCCCTGTTTCCATTGCAACTATTGACAATTTGCAATTTTTAATTCCAATGAGCACAATTACAGATACTAATCATTACATAAATAAAATTTCATGAAGAATGTTCAAGGGACCAGAGAGAACACTCGCGGACAAAATTCATCGCTTTTTGAAGGTTTCCATTGCAACGGTAGCCATTTTGAAATTGAATGACCACAAAACTCAATTACAACCAGTGATCCTCCTTTGAGGAAAGTTCCAGGAAGATTTTCCCAGCCATCTCCGAGAAACAGCCTGGAGAGCAAAAACATGCGTACAATCGCAATACTCAGTATGTCGCCCGAATTCGTTCGGGGCGACATAAATATGTAACTGATGATTAGAAACATTTATAAATATTTTAAAATTTTATTTAATTCACACCGTGTTGTCCTAATCTTCACATTTTCCATTAAGGTTACCTTTTAGCATATTAAAATTAATATAGAAATTTCATCCAAAAAATTTTTATGTACCAATGTTTTTTTTTTTAATTCTTATTATATTATAATCCTTCAAATACTAAAGGTAACTATATTTAATTCATATATTTTCGTAGTAATACAATTTCTCTATACCCTGTTTGGTAAACATCAAAGAATCAAAAGTTAATTTGAAGGTCACCATGAGTGTCAAACAAGGCGTACAGGGTATACACAGAGACTGGTAAGTAAATGTCAATCAAGTTCAAGCATCCAGTGATGATCTTCATGCACTTGATTGACAGGGCTACCCAGTCCAGGTATTTTTGAAGGCAGTGCTTAAAAGCTCTGCCTGTAATGGACTTTAAAGCTTGAATATAATTTGTTATCTCAATATTTTCATCATACATACGACAATGGTTTATTGAGCATTAAAATTTTGCACTTTTTACAGCTTCTGGAGCAATTACATGTATTTGCCTCGTTTTTAAATGGCATTTTCTGCTAAATATTTACATTTCTTCTTGCTTTCATACAGCTTGCGTCAGGATTACCTTCATATTTAACTAATGAACATTACTTTCATGTCTCTTGTTCAAGACAATACAAAACATAAGATTTAAACTAATAGTGTATATGGCCAAGATTCCATTGTTTATGAACAATATATATTGTATAATATCAAAAGGTCGACGGTAGTGACAATTACTTGTGGTACCTAATAAGTATCTGCTTCGGTCATTTATTCAGTGCAATGAAGTCGCCTGCGTGGTGCAGTGGTTAGAGCGTCTGCTCTAGAATAGCGAAGTAGGGAGTTGATCCTTACGTTGTGGGTTCGAATCCCACTGTGGGACGTCCTTCGAATGAGATTGTATAAACTGAGGCTCCGCGTCGCAGTAGATGCTAGGAGGAAAAGGTCCTTCATTGTTCAATGGCCCTGATCATGACTTCCGAGTATAGGCCAAAATTTTTAGCTTTCCAATATTAGTGGCGTCTCCATATGAGTGAAAAATTCTTAATAGGAACGTTAAACAACATACAATATAGAAATCAATCAGTGCAATGAAAATATTTACAGTCAATTAATACATGTAGGTATCTTTGAAAATATGCTTATGATTTTGCACTATTTTGTAATTTCTAGGTCTCTAAAAGATCTCAAAAATTCAAATCTACATGATCGTAAGAAAATAGTGTTTCCATAAATAATCTGTTTGTTATAATTAAGTTTTGATTAATTTAACATATTTAATTGATAGAATGGTTGTCTTTAAAATTTTTAAATAATCATTTTCAAATTTAAGCTTCATTTAATTCAATTTATAAACTGATGTTACATAATCGAAGATCTGAAGGTATATAGTTTTTGTCCTTTCCGTTCGTTTGTCTGTCTGTTTTCAAACACTTTAATCTTGTCCATTTCTTTTAATTCATTATTGGAGCTATGACTTCTTTATGTCATATGTGTATTACTTGTGATAAGCCTTTTCCTCGGGTGTGACTATATTTGACCTCTTTAGTTTGGAGTTTGACTCAGCTTTTCAAAAATTTAACCTAAATTTAAGTTTGACCATAACTGTTGAACAGTTGTACTAGGGCTTTATACTTCACATGTGTATTTATTGTGAAAAGACCTTTATCCATTCCTTGGGACTTTTTTATCTCATCTCTTTTTTTCATCTCTTTCATCTTCCACCAGGAGTTGCCCCGTGCGGATCCGGGTTAGAATAGGTCCTCAGTACCCCCTTGCTTGTCGTAAAAGGTGACTAAATGGGGCGGTCCTTCGGATGAGACCGTATAAACCGAGGCCCCGTGTCACAGCGGGTGTGGCACGATAAAGATCCCTCCCTGCTCAAAGATTGTAAGTGCCGAGCATAGGCCTAAATTTGCAGCCCTTCACCAACAATGGTGACGTCTCCATATCAGTGAAATATTCTGGAGAGGGACGTTAAACAGTATACAATCAATCAATCCACCAGGAGTTAGATTTGCATTTGAGAAACTTCGCCAAATGCTAGCTGCCATAGGGGGTAGCAGTGTTTCACAAACTTATCTTGTATAAATTTACTTTACTTCTGACCATTGAATGAAAAGAATTATCAGGAAATCTTTCAAGAATATCTGATTTTCATCATGGGAGGATAACTTCTTAAAGTATTTTTTATCAATTAAGTCTCAATATGAAGCATAAAAATTGAAAACTTCTCATGAAACAATTTTTCTTCTTTGCATTATAATATGATTCAATGTTTCTTGAAGCCTTAGTCAGAGTTTCGTATAAATCTGAGATTTCTACCACCGAAAATTAAAAAAATAAATCTAGTTTTTTGAGAAATGGGATTTTATTGAAACTAGACTTAGATATCAATGTGATTTGTAATATCTTGCAATCATAGTGCAAGTTGTTGACACTATGTATTGTATAATAATTGTCAGGGAAAAGGAAGACTCACATACACATGTATAGCAAAAGTATAAAAGTCATGGATTCTTCTCTTAATACATAGATACCTATAGTTTATTAACTGACAATATATTTGTTGATCAATTTTCAATTTTAAAAAAATCATAGGAAATGTTTTTTTTCTATTCTCTTTTCCTTAATACATATTGAAGATTTGATAATTTTCCCTAATATTATATTTTTAAAAATTACATTCTTCTAATGTTTGACTTCAACTGTCTTACTATTATGATTTCAGTTTGATATGCATGAAAAAAGAATAAACACAGTTTTTGTTCTGTCAACAATGAGAATTGCGTAAATGACAGTAAAAAAAATCACCTTTTTCTTTAAATAGAATGCACTTTTACAAATCAGACACATTTTGCTAATAGTTATGAATAGTGATGAATTGCGATCAAAGATATTGAATAAATATGACATGGCAAAAAGTAATGGTAAAGGGGATATAAATGTATAAAATTTTATGTAATGAGATGTAAATCATTTTTCTCTTAACTTTTTCAAAAGATTCTTTTTTCAAATTTAGAAAAGTAATATTTGCATGAACAAAAATACAGTAGATACAAAGAGGATAATTCATTTTCTGATGATTCAACAACTTTTGTGGAAATAAAAGAGAAAACTCTTCAAAATTTAGCCAACCACTGGCATAACGCAACTTTTAAGGTTACATCCATTTTGCATTATGTTAGACAAACCATTATTCCAAAAATCAATATAGGTTTTCCGATAATTTGTCCCCATAGAGGTCATCAAAGATTGGAGGTTCATGTATGGACGTAAAGCGCTCTCGTCGAAGGGGTCCCAATGTGGCAAACTGCGTCCGTTAGGGTTTCTTGAAAATACAAAAGAAGCAATATCATCTCAACGTCATTGTATTAAATATAAATTTTCTTTAATTTCTGATTTTAATAATTTAATTTTTTTTTAGATATTGAAAGTTTACTTTAAATAAATATATTAATAATACAAATATAGAAATCACTTTACCCAGTCTTTGCGAAGTTGGCCCAATATTGTCTCATCTGGTTTACTAGTATATCTGCTCCACTTGGCCATTTAGTTACATTTTTAACTTGCTCATACAAAAACAAATAAAAGACATCAGTCGCATGCGCAGAACCACGATACCACGAAGGTGCGGTGGGAAGTATTGAAGGTAGTTCATCGGAAAAGACGTATTGATATGTTGATGTTCCCTGAATACTGTTTGCATGATATTCTAAAGCAAGTGCTGCAGGGGCAATAAATGTAATGTCACCGTACATGTGTAAAAAGGCCCGACCTTGTTCCTCAATATTATTTACCGCCGAGTACTTCTTGCAGATCGCATTAGAAACATCGCTACTGTTGTTGAATAATGACTTTGAAAATACAGGTAGTATAGTATTACACATCTCACTAGTTGGTACACCTTCACTGATATTAAAGTTTAATTTTGATTGATAAAATGGTAAGAAGCTAATCGCCAGGGAACCGTCATTATCACAAATTCCAATCATCGTGTCCAGTGACTGAAAAAAATTGAATTCTGGTGACGACTTGTCGGTCAGTAAATGAACTGGATCCTTACGAATGAGTTCACCATCAACTGTCGGCGAAAAAGGAAGTTTTACAAGAGCGTTCAATCCTAAGTCCATCCAGACTAAATTCATTGCTTTCACAAGAACACTTGCATCTACAGCTCTAAGACATTCAATAAAGCTTTGATCATTTCCTGAGTGGTAATTGTAAGCGCAACCAACTTTCTTGCCAATTGCAATAGAAGACAAAGTAGCATTGGATACTGCAAGGTAAGAATTGGCAGTCCCACTTTGAGCAATTACTCGGTGAAAAAGCCCTCTGTTGCTTGGTATTAAAGATTGTAAGGCCACACTGGATCCTCCTGCTGATTCTCCAAAAATTGTGACGTCATCGGGATTCCCGCCATAATCTTTAATATTGTATCTCACCCAGTTTAGAGCCATTTTCTGGTCCCAAAGTCCGGCATTCCCCTTTGCCTTGTTATTTCTTGAAGCAAAGAATCCAAATATTCCCAGTCGATAATTTATTGTCACTACAATTACATCTCCTACTAAAGAAAGCATACTTCCATCATACATGCCACCGGAACCGACCATAAATGCACCACCATGAATCCAGACCATAACTGATTTGTTATTAGAAGAATTTATATTATTGGGGACATAAATGTTTAACTTGAGACAATCTTCAGTAAATCTCGGAAATGTTGTTGACTGGTTTTGTGACTGATAACAAACAGCGCCTAGCCTTGTTGCATTAAGGGTTTCTGACCAAGCTCCAAATTGCTGAGGTTTTTGAAACCGTAAATGACCAATCGGAGCTTTGCCATATGGTATATTGAGAAATTTATAGATTATCCCCTTATTCATGAAATCATTGTGTCGTACTCCTATTACACTTCCAAGTCTTGTTTGGATTTCAATTTCACTTTGCTCAGCTTTGATGTGAAAAATGCACTGTGATGATACGAGTAATATCGTAAAGACGTACATGAGGGAGCCTGTGCTTCCCATCTTGATAAAAGAAAATTGGTAAAATTAGGAATATAAAGTAGCGGTATATAATTATATTAATTTAGAATTTATACATGTCTATAAATTTTGTATTGTGAGTATGCATGTGTGTCTTTTGTCTTCTTTGATAAACATTTTTATTCCAAAAAAAAAACATTATAAAAATGGATTATCAATGACCAAATTCACTCAAAACATTCTGCTATGACTTTTCTAGCTAACAATGTGTCGTTAATATCAATAATAAATTTGATCATATAACTATTACCATTTTGAAAAAAAAATTAGATGGAACAAAAGAAGTTTATACTGTTGAAGATAAACATAACGTAATGATAAATACGTACCATTTAGAGAAGTGTTATCTTCGTAACGATGATAAAATATGATTCTCGACAGGTGCTTTCATAATATATAGTCAGTTACAATATAGAACATTGACCAAAATACGCTGACGTTTTGTAACAATCAAATGAAATTTCGTAAGATAAGATATACAGCACATACCAAGGATGTTAGATCTGAGTAGGTCAAAAACACAAGCGCCTGTGGTCAAAAATAGAACTACGAACTATTCATTTAAAGAAACGAAGAGCATGCAAAACACATTTCTAAAATTCTAAAGGAAGATTGATTGATTAATTAAATGTTGTTTTACGTCCCATTCCAGATTTACACTCATATAAAAGCGTCACCATATACCATGGAGGGCTTCAGATTTTGACCTTTACTCGGGACGATGGCTATTGAGCAGTGAGGGATCTTGATTTTGCCAACGCCTACCGTGACACTGGACCTCAGTATTTAAGGTAGGCCTTTCAATTCCGCTAGGGTTCGCTGTTATGAACGATGTTTAGAGCAGGTCCGAGGTATCGAACTGTTTATACACAAGTCAGTTTTTAGCATTTCCCAAGTGTTTCTTTGCTATCAGTAGAATCCAGTGGTTTTAAAATTTAGCACTAATGTTAAACTTATTTACTATATAGCTGCGGAGACCGTTTAATAACATAAAAGTAAAATTTTTAATTAAAATACAAAGTGAAGTCTATCCTCCTTTTTAGTTCTAACCTAATTTAATTTTTATACTCGGTCGTTCTTCTTCGTGCTTAGTAACACAAAAAAGAAAATTAATTGTTGCATTTACTTGTAAAAATATATATGTTTATATAGGAAGCGCAAAAACGCGCACACAAAAAACATAACATTATATTTTCTTCCTCATAACAATCGTCAAAGAGAGTTAAAAATGTTGAACATAGTCTGTTCCCCATTCATTTGACCTTGTATTTCAGGTAGACTGAAGACATTCTCCTTCGTTTGGTCAACATTTTTGTGTACAAAACATTGTAAGGAACCGGTTACCCTTTTGTGTACATAACAATACCAATGCTGAAGCAGCCTATATGTCATTCATATAAACGACAACTCATAAATCGGCACTTAGTTTGTCATTTTTCACACCTGAGTTGCCTGTCCTTAAAACACAACATCGTACAAGTCAATTATAAATTATTAAACTTTTTAATCATTTAATTAAAGGTTTGCATAAGTTATCGTATTTTTTGAAAATTTCATGTACCTAGAAATCTATCTATGAAATGTTTTTTACCATATGTGCAATTGAAAAATTAGTTGAAAGGCCTATTTAAGGTCTCATCCGAAGGACCCGCAACTTTCACTTTAAAGTGCCGAACGCTTGGCAAAGGAATCCTTGCTACCCATTTCATATCGATTTATGTCAGTTATGCATGGTCCAGTTTTGAGCTCACGACCTTCAGATCACGAAGCGAGTGCACTACTGACTGAGCTACCGTGAACGGTTAAAAGTAAGCGACGTATTAACATTTCCTAAAAGCTAATACAAGTGTTTGTATTCAACAACTACAGTGAAACCTGTCTAATCCGACATGCACCACTGGGAGACAAATTTTGTGTCGGAATAAACAGGGTGTCAGATTGCACAGTGTTAGAAACAAAGAAAATACTAAAATGTGAAAGAAATTTAACGTCGCAATTCACAGTGTGTCGGATTATTCAGGTGTCGGATTAGACAATTTTCACTGTATCATATAGACTCTCTCTCTATCTCTTTCTCTCTCTCTCTCTCTCATTGAAAGGATTGTCCCTTTTCGGATTATTGGGCCAACCCAACCCCCAGTATTTAACTTTTGGATATTTCTCCACTTTTAGTTGAGGTCAGTCAAAGATTTTTTTCAAGTAAGATTTTTTTTCTATTTATAATGCCCCCTAAGCAAGTTTTAACATTACTCTTAATACGTATCTGACATTTTTTTAATGTTAAAATTTCAAATGAATATGACATATGTTACTTACAACTTTACATGTACATGTACGAGGGTTGTTAGAAAAGTTCGCGGACACATTGAATTACAGAAAATCTATTGTGTACTGTGAAGTATGACCTATGACTGAATGAATTCCTACATTTTGTTTATTGGTATGTAAAAAATCAGGTCCATATAATAAAATCTTAAAATTTTACAACTATTTTTACTATGGGGTTATGGGATTCACGGAGCAATCACTTGACATAAGCGACGTGAGAACCAGATTTCAACTCTTTAAGCTTTGAAGCAGTTCTATAAATCTTTTATTTCTTCAGAGTTTTCTTATCTTTTTTATACTTTAAAATTGATTATCTATATCAAGACATATTACTTTTCTACTATAATGTCTTTTGTACTGTTTCGGATAGTATTGAGATCTTAAAAAATAAAAAAATCTATGCAATCAATCGATCAGGTATGGAAACTATGCAAAACCATGAAGGTGCAACACAACGTCCATGCGATAGGGGGGTATTGAAGTATCGATGGAGTTAATCATTCAAAATGTTACTCCTTCCATTCTTATGAAGCTACAACCATTTGAAAACTTGTTCTTTGTATGTGTAGGATATTCTCGGCAGCATCTTGAACATTTTAATCTATTTTTAGACATTTTCCTGTCTGCATACATAATTTTTACGTAGTGCAGTGCTCCATGACGCTCAATAACGTTCCAATTTTTGGCTATGTTTTTACGCGTTGATCATTTATAAACGGCTATAAAACAGTCATATACCCTCCAATTTAGTTCAAAATTTCTCCCAGTGACGTTTCCTGCATACTTTAGCGGCAGGTAAAATATCATGAATCTCTTGGCACCACAATTGTGCAATTTTTAGTTTTAATAAAGAGTCTTTGTGATATAAACGTGCCAAAATGTAGCATGCTCCGTGAGGCAAGATTTATCAAAATAAAAATGCCGTATATTTTTCAATAATCACCGGAGAGCACCAAATTCTTGTATATTTATTGGAAAAAAGCTCAAGATTATATCTGAAAAGTTTGACCGGTTTCGTGGAAATAGCGGGCTCACAATAGAACTTGTCCGCGAACTTTTCTAATACCCCTCGTACATGTACATGAGCAAGCAAATGATCACACGTCTCGCTTGTTAATGATTCAAATGATATAATTTTCATTGCATTAATTATTCAATTCAAAAAAAGAATTTTTTAGAAGTTTTCAGAATTATTTTCCAGAATTGGGGACAAATTGTAAACAATGTGTAGAAGATAGTTCGAGTTCCAAAAACTATATAAATAAATATAGGTATGATTGTCTTTTTTGTGATGTGATTGTGAAGATCTTCAATGATGCCAATGATTTGATTGTAATGATGTATTTATTATGTTTTCTGATTACAATTTAAAAACTAAAACACACTATAATTTATGTTTTCAAAACATAAAAATAAGGAAATTAAATATTTTACAATCTCCCTTCTATCTACTATATCAAAATGTTCAAGATTGAATAACAAGTAAGTAGTATAAAATAATTTAAATAAAATAAACATACAGTGTATTTTACTATAAAGTAATACTATTATAAAAGTGTCTATCCAACAACAGGTAAAGCACAGCTATTTTGATCACAATTAGATAATATTGTTGGGATCTTGTTCATCCAGAACTCCATATAGTCTTTTCTGTAATCTAGCCCCATCCCAGTGTTCAGGGACCTCAAGCTCATGTAAGGATGACTTGAATTACGATCATAAGGTAACCAAACCGGCAGTCCAGGACCGTTGGGGTTTCTGGAAATATACAGTAAAAAAATTATGCTGATGAGTTCAAATATGCTCATATCTTTGCACACTATATTCTACGAATTTACAACACATCATAATAAGAATTTGCTTCGAAATGCACCCTCTTTATTTTCTAAGGAAAAAATATGAAGATGATTATTCGATTTTGAATCTTACTTACAGGAACCGATTTACGATCTATACAATTATTTCAAAATTGCCCGTCAATGGGCGTATTTCTATACTGATATCATAACCGGGTTAATCTCATTCTGGACTCCAGTCTTAAAACCGTTAAGACCTCAAACACCAAAGTTTGAGGATGAAAGTGTCCTGGATGACATTGATTGGGCCGATCATGCATTTGTTCATATCCCGATGTCTTTGGCTATGCAAGTGAGAGGATATATCAAACGGAACAGTTCTTGCAATCCATGATTTTATAAATGCAAAATGACTTCTTTTTTCTGGATAATTTATACATGGCTGACCTTTGGCCTGTTACGTACGATTTGCTGTCCCTTTTCCATAATCAAAAAGGCCTTGGCGATAATCAAGTTTCAATCCACTTATACAAACATCCTCACCGCATCTATCGGGTGAGAAGTTCACCCAGCACCCCTAACTATTCTTTATTCTATGCAAGCACGTAAACATCCCCTACTACCTTTCCCCTCAAAACACCAATATCTGTTACCTATCTATTTTTATGCGATTTTTGTTATGATACTGATTAAATAAACTTAACAAGTTTTAATCAATTTTCATGTAAGCAAGATAGAAATATTGATAAAACTTTTGCTCTTACCCAGTTTTGGCAAAATTTGTCCAATATGATCTCATTTGATTTACTAAAATCTCGGCACCTTCCGAAAATTCCATGCCTGTGGAAAATTGTTCATAGAAGAAAAGGTATGATATTTCTGTGCCATGGGCTGAACCACGATACCACGAAGGAGCTTTGGAAACTAGAAACGAATTTTCATCAAAAAACATATACTGGTAAGTAGAGGTTCCTTGGATGTTGTTGGAATGGTCAAGCAACGTTGAAATGGACGGTTTGATAAATACATAATCACCTACGAGATCTAAAAGTTGACGTCCTTGCTCTGCCACATCCTCTTTTACTGTGTATTTTTCACACACAGTTTTGAAAACCATGTCATTCGAGATTATATTTTTGCTTAATATATTAGGCAGAATTGTGTTACACATTACCCTCGTAGGAATACCGATGCTTATATTGAACTTCAGGTCGTTTTGTAGGGCTTGGAAGATATTAAGTAAAACAGAGCCTTCTGTTCCACAGTTACCGATCATTACATCCAGAGACTGGAAGAAAGTGAACTCTGATGAGCTCTTATCTTGTAAAAGAAGTGCGGGTTCTCTTCTCAACAACTCTCCATCAACTACTGGAGCAAAAGGTGGAAATGATAGTTCCAAAAGTCCTAATTCGGAGGTAAACTCACTGGTTGCATTTACCAATGTCATTGGGTCCACATTTCTAAGGCATCGCAGAGAGGTGATATCATTTGAAAACAGCTCATTATTAACACAACCCACCTTCTTTGCTATTCGTATCGTAGACAATGATGCGTTTGTTGTTGCAAATGTTGAGGTAGCAACTCCACTTTCAATAATCACCCTATGAAATAATCCTCTGTTGTTAGGAATTAAGGCCAAAAGAGAAACACTGGTTCCCCCTGCTGATTCCCCAAAAATTGTTACATCCCTAGGATTTCCACCATAGTCATGGATATTATAACGTACCCAATTAAGAGCAAGAATCTGATCCCATAATCCCATATTCCCTTTTGCTCTGTAATCATTTGATGCAAGAAATCCGAAAATACCTAATCGGTAATTAATGGTTACAACAATAACGTCACCTTTCAATGCCAAAAAGCTACCATCATAAGGTATCCCTGACCCGATTATATACCCTCCACCATGAATCCAAACCATAACGCTTTTCCTATTAGATGGATTGAAATCGTTCGGAACATAAATATTAAGCTGAAGACAATCCTCTGACAATTTGAATCGTTTGTCATTTTGGTAACACGAAGGACCAAAATTGGTTGCATTGAGAGTTCCGGACCAGGCACCATAAGGTAATGGTTTTGAAAACCTTAAATGGCCAACTGGGGCTTTTGCAAATGGAATATTTAGAAATTTATATACCGTTCCTTGATTTTCATACGAATTAAAACGTTTTCCAACGATTGTTCCAAGCCGTGTTTGTGCATGGAAATCATTTCCAGTTTCATCTGCACTTTGTGAAAATGGCATCATTAAGGAAAAAAGAAGGAATTTATATCCCAATAACAGTGCCATCTGCAAAAATTAGAGTTTCAAATGCATCTTTTTAAATTCAAAAGTAATTTTACTCCACAACTTAAATTTAAATTGAATTTCTTTTAAGTAAGAGTTCTAAAGAGAAGAGAGTTTATTTTCTTACCTCAGTTGTTGTGTAGCAGAGAGAAGAGAGTGAGGAGTCCCTTTACTTCATGTATGTGAGTTATTATCAGGGTTTTCCCATAGTACAAATGTTTGCCAAGATTAAATATCGGCATAAACGGGGAAAATTTTATCTCCTCGTTTAATTAGAAAAGAAAAGAACCAGTGAGACTTAAATGACGGAGAAGATTTTAAATGTAGATCGCTGAAAGAAAATCAAAGTACTGAGACAGTACTGAAAGACGGGGTCAAAATAATCTTCATGCTAGATTTCACAAATGTTATTTTTAAAACGAGTTTTGATAACAATTTATCTTTTTATTGACATACTAAAACAAAACTGTGAAGAATAAAAATTCACGTTTTTCATTTGATTTGAAGTAGAAATTTCAATAATTGCCTTGTCTAGAAACCTTTTTGAACTGTCCGAATTTCACCGGGTACGAATCAAAATTTTTCCGGAAGTAAACAATGGATGATGCATACGCAGACGTAATAATATACGCAGGAGAGTACTTTGTTTACTACTGTGATTTACAATTAATATTTTTATTTTTAAATTTTTAAAATGCTTTTTTAGTTTGAACTTAGAAAAAAGTTCATATCAATTTCTTCAGTTTGATACGGAAAGTTTAATATATTTTGATCAAATTAATTTCTGCACTCTTTGATATAGCGTAGATTTAAATCATATGTTATCACCACGGCTTCCGTTTTGAGGCCTCTGACGTTAAACTAATAGACGGGGTCACGTGACCCCGTCTAAAAAGAGGTTTTTTTCCTCATGTATAGGTCCTTGAATAAATTCTGCTTAATGTCGAATCGATATATCATATATCAATAAACCCTAGGTAAAAAACATCACAGATTCTGTAGCATCTCATTCATATCTAGATGTTTTACTACGAGGGGTTATCAAAAAGTTTAACCTGCACTTTGTGAAAATGGCATCAATAAGGAATAAAATTGATACTTTGTAGTCTGCCTTTACAAAATTTTACATTAAACAACAAACAAAAGTTTAAGAAGTATTAAAAGTTTAAGCTTGATACGTTGATAAAATGACAAATTATTATAAGATATAAAAGACATCATATGATAACTCGGCACTGTCACCGTTTAGTTTCATGACGTCCGACAAGGTCATTATTTCTCAATTTCTGCTCCTTCAGTATCGTTACACTCATCTTGATGATATTCCCTGGAATTAAGTAAAAACCAAAATCTGTCTTGTTTATATGATGATATGGATATAACAACGTCATGAACAGCTGATTTCAATGCATATGAATTAAAGGAATCTGTACATACAGACAGATTCTCGCTTGATTATACCAGCATATTTTGTTTGTTGGAGTTCAAACTCAACGAGCTTTTTGATAACCCCTCGTAACTACAGCCGACAATGAACAATTCACAGCTAAATTTTAAAACAAATGATTTGATACGTGTCTTAGTTAAAGCACATTATTTAAAAGAAATCACTTGGAGAAAAGCAGTGAAAAGGATTTTTCTTTCCGAAAATAGAGGACATAATTAATTGACGAGCCCTCGTATATATGAGTACTCCTCTGATATCTACATATTATTTTATGTCTCCAATTATATGTATTATCGCTACAGTGTGTGATAAAAAAATTCAAGCTAAATAAAACTAAATCAAAATACTGTAATGAAACATATCAGTAGTCCACTAGAACCCAGTATTTTTAATTTCATTTGATATCTCTTTAAAGGCTGGTTAAAAATATGTAAGGGGTTCATAAAATGAATTTATATATTCATTTATCAAGCCAAACAATATTACAATTAGGAAGAAGAAATCCGATCTCTGATTAAAAGTTTTACATCATTTAATAAGTGAATTTTAAAATTTTCGCATATCCGTATATGCCTTATTTATTTGGTTCATTCCTTCTCCACATAAGGTCCTGCTTATAAATATTTTGTGCAAAAAAAATTCAAATAACTATCAAATAAACATATTTATATTTAATGACGTTATATCCTGATATTTAAAGTCTTAAACTTTTTCTGCCAGGTATATATTTAGTTTCTACATAGCTTAATTGAAATTCAAATCAATATATTCTTCTTTTGGCGCTATATTACATTTAATAGGACCTTTTTGCACCGAAATTTTTGTCTTAATTAAAAATTACATCTTCGACGTTTTCCCTCCAATAATTTTATCCAATTAAAGCATGAAGCAAAATGAACTCTAAGTCTATTTGAAAAAAGACACTTTAAAACTGTGTATAAGAAAAAGAAAATTGCTTCGCATAATCAATTATTTGTCTAAAGAAAGAACTTATTTTAAGTCTTAAACTTTCTTGAATTTAAACAAGTAGGTCAAAGTCATCTTAAAAATTTAGAAAAGAACATCAAAATAGGGGGTAAAATATGAATTAAAGTTTCAGATATTTCTAAAAAAGTTTCATTTTATTGTTAAGATTGGCTCAACCTTCTCCCCGATTTTCAGAATATATTTACTGTATTTGTCAACCTTCTTTGAAAGAATTCATAAAAAATAATTTAATAGATATTTCAGAACCAACATAACACATTTCACTGCAAAAATCAGCTTTGTGCAACCAATATGGAAAAATAATAATCTAGAATTAACAGTTTTGTTATAGTTCAAAAGGGAAAAAAACTGATCGTTTTCTTCTAAAAAAAAAACTTTCCGCCATAAAAATATAGTTTCTACTTCAATGGAATTTTATCGCGGTTATTTCATTGAAAATTGTTCAATTTGCATTGTAGAATTCAGATTTAATGTTAGAACTGAAAATGATGCAGAATTTTATGAATAAAGGACAGGACCAAAATCCGCTCAAAAGCTCAGATTTGTACGTCCTTAAAAAATTTCTATCCAACAACAGGTAGAGCACAGCTATTTTGATCACAATCAGGCTCAGATAACATTGCTGGGATCTTGTTCATCCAGAATTCCATGTAGTCTTTTCTGTAATCCAGCCCCATCCCAGTATTAAGGGACCTGAAGCTCATGTAAGGATGACTAGAATTACGATCATAGGGCAACCAAACTGGAAGTCCAGGGCCATTTGGATTTCTGAAAAAATATAAAACAGAAAATATTATACATTGTAAAATCACCCAGCGATTATACCCGCAGCTACAAATCGATTAAAAAACGTGTATATCTATTTCCAAAGATAGTTACAAATTGATGAGCTGTTAAATGTAAAATTTATAAAAAGTCTTTAAGACACAGTGCGTCATATTCAAACCAGACTTTAGAGTGCGTTTCTATGTGATCATTTCTTGCATATTCTTCAACAATTAGACTTACACCTACCCTGTTTTGGCAAAATTAGTCCAATAAGACCTCATTTGATTTACTAATATTTCGGCGCCCTTGGGATATTTAACACGTGACACTAACTGTTCATAGTAGAACAAGTAAATAAGTTCTGTGGCGTGAGCAGAGCCTCGATACCACGAAGGAGCATTTGGAAGCATGAATGAAAGTTCATCAAAAAAAACATATTGATAAGTAGAAGACGCTTGGACATTGTTGGAGTGTTTTAGCAACGTTGAAGTGGACGGATTAAGGAAGAGATAGTCACTAATGAGACTTAAAAATTGTCGCCCTTGCTCTGCTTCGTCATTCTCCTTTACGGTGTACATGTCACAAACATCCTTAAAGACTTGGGTATTAGACTTCATCTTTTCGTTTAATAAGTTGGGTAGAAACACTTTACACATTTCCGCTGGTGGAACACCATTGCTTATATTAAAAGGTAGCTCGTCTTGTAGGAAAGGAAATGCTCCAACTATTACAGAGCCTTCATTTTCACAGTTTCCTATCATAACATCCAGAGACTGGAAAAAGGTGAATTCTGAGGAACTCTTGTCTTGTAAAAGAAGTGCGGGTTCTCTTCTAAATAACTCTCCATCAATTGTGGGGGCGAATATCGTTTGCGAGATTCCTCGGAGCCCTAAGTCAGTAATAAACTCATCAGTGGCATTCACTAATTTCATTGGGTCTATATTTCTTAAGCATCGCAGAAAAGCGGCATCACTGGTCGACAAAGTATCATACACACAGCCTACCTTCTCTGCAGTTTTTATTGTAGACAAAGAGGCGTTTACTGTAGCAAATTGTGAACTAGCAACCCCACTTTCCATGATCACCCTATGAAATAGTCCCCTGTTGTTAGGAATCAATGCCAATAATGAAACACTGAATCCCCCCGCTGATTCCCCGAATATCGTGACATCCCTGGGATTTCCGCCATAGTCGTGGATATTATATCGTACCCAATTAAGAGCAAGAATCTGATCCCATAATCCCATATTCCCCTTCGCTCTATAATCGCCTGACGCCAGAAATCCAAAAATCCCAAGGCGATAATTTATTGTTACAACGATGACGTCACCGTTTAAGGCCAAGAAGCCGCCATCGTAGGATAATCCTGATCCCATTAAATATCCTCCTCCGTGAATCCAAACCATTACGCTTTTCTTGTTAGAGGGATTGAAATTGTTTGGGACATAAATATTCAGCTGAAGACAATCTTCTGAAAATTTAAAGTTTTTAGCTAAATCTGTGACTGTCTGGTAACAGGCAGGGCCAACGTTTGTGGCATTGAGAGTTCCGGACCATGCACCATAGGGTATTGGTTTTGCAAATCTTAAATGGTTGACAGGAGCTTTTGCAAATGGAATGTTTAAAAATTTGTATAATGTTCCCTGATTATTATACGATTTGAAACGTTTTCCTACAATAGCACCAAGCCGTGTTTGTGCGTGAAAATCATCTCCAGTTTCCTCTGCACTTTGCGAAATATGCACCAAATAAGAGAAAAAGAGAAATTTCACACTCCAAAATGCTGTTATCTGCAAAAAAATTAAAATGTATTTGAAATATGCAAAGAACGGTTTTCACTATCACGGGACCCGGTTTTAAATTTCAAAGAAATTATGATGAAAATGATTTTTCCGAAGAGAAAGGTTACAAATTCCTCACCTCCATTATCGTTGAATATCAGTTATTTAGTTAAGAAAGAGTGGTCACTTAGATATGTGACTTATCATCAGTTATTCTTCTGAAGTATAAATGTCTGTCAACGTTGCATAACAAGATAGAAGGATATAGTTTTATCTTCGTATTCAGTATGTCAAATTAAACAGACTGTAAACAAATATCGGGAAAAAAATTATAAATTCTCTGAGAACTTGCAACGTTAGCAAACTAGAAACTTGGTCAATGCGAACAATAGCATATGTCATCCCAATCTGACCTCCCTCCGTTTTCCTTGTAATGACCGGAACGGAGCAATATAAGGTAATAAGCAGAGGCAAACGCCATTTTCAAAGGCTGTCCAAAATTAAAATATCAGAATATTTCTGTAGCACTGACATATATTTTTGAAATTTTGACTCCCGGAATGTTGGGTAAATGGGTTTACATTTTAATAATATGCATGAAAATATATTTTAAGCGTAAGAAATTAAATTCAAACAACATTTATTTGCGATGACAACAGTTTTCACGACACTAATTTTTCCAAAACCTCTTTATCAGTTTTGGTTGCTTTGGATTTTAAATTACCAACACAATCGTGACTTCTCCAAGTATGACTAAAAACTATAAAATATGACCTGAGATTTTGTTGCATAAGAGCTATTTTTAGTAACAGGTCCTATAACTAATACTGGTATGATTAGCACAATAAAAATTTGTCTGATTTCTATTCATGCACGCTAGATTTAGCTTGCAAAATTTGAAGGCAATTGGAAATCTTGCTACTGGACCATTTTGCATGTTTTTCTCGGAGACATATCTTTTATCTTAAGCTAATGTGGATATATCGTATCCACATTAAAATGGAAATTACTATTACTTGACATTTTAACCAGTATCATGTCCGGAGGTTCAAAATTGACAACCTTTCTCAGACTAGTGCCCCTAATGTTGTTAAGGGTAGTAACATGTGAAGGCCGGGAGTTGCGGGAAGGGTGGTTGTCGTTTTCTCTAAGGACAACTGATTTATGCATTGAAATAATCCTTATTTTAGTTGAATCATATGTTGAGCTAAATATTTATATCTTAAAAGAGCCTCCGTACATTGTTCTGGTGTAAAAGTAAGCTGTCAGCTGTAAAAGTCAGCGCTACTCGCAAAAGTCCACTAATATAAAAACACAAAGTAAGCACAGAAGTCTACAGGAGACAATCAGTCATTCTATTCATTCATTCATACGAACAAAGTCAACAAACAAATGCCGTCTGCAACCTATTCCATTTTCTCACACAATGTAATTCAAAAAAATAACAGTTTCAATTTTCAAAATAATTGAATAAAAAAATAAGAAAGAATGACTTTTAATGAGTTTCCATGGCAGCTATATGATTTTATATATATGTGAAGTGTCATATAGATTACCCAAGACCGTCTGGAGAACTCTTGGGGACAAAATTATTTAAATATTAAATAATATATTACACTAAACTGATTTCGCTTGAAAATCTCTATTCTATTAGAGAAACAGGCAACATAATTATCCAACCTTGCAATTGTCTAAAAAAAAATTTTAAGATAATTATCATAGTAGTAATTCAACTATTTTTCCCTATTTGAATACCAATTGTTTTAATTTGAGTTGTCTCCTCTCTGTCTAATTTTATTTATACAACATGTAAATATTATGCCAAGGTCAAACTGGAAAATGTTAGAGAAGATAACCTTATTTCACTGGTGTGGTGTAATCATTTTTTTCACTGATACAGAGAAAAAGACGTACAGCAACTCGTTCAAGAAGCCATACTAAAGATAAAACTGGTCCGACAAAATGTCATTTGTAAGTACAAAGAATTTTTTTTTATTATGCATGAAAAACTAAATTCTGAACTTAATCTTTGTCATGAATAATTCATTAATTGTTCAATGTTTACATTCATTCGTACTTTCATACATACATGGACTTCCTCGGTATTTGTAATGGTAACCTTATACAAATGTTTTAACTCTAAGGATATAAGTATTAATTTTGCTTATTAGTTGACTGAGGCATCAAATTTAATCAAATTTTAGATTATTTGCTTGACATATGATCTGTTTTTCCGACCGTATCTCAATGAAATTAAAGCGGTTTTTAAAAGAAGAAAAAAAAAAATCCCCCCTCCCAGGTATTTAAATAAAATTTTTCTCACAGTAAAGTTTTTTCTTTCAACTGAATGCATTTAGTCTAACTTCTGACACTTAATTTTTGTTTCGGAGAAACCTATAGCTAAATTCATACTTTACATATTATCTAACTACAAGATATGCTATGCTCCAGACCAAATACTGTTTCAGCTAGCTCGATGTCGATGGTGGGAAACTGTCTCACTCATATTTGACAATACCTTGTCTATTAGTCTTAGGGTTCTTAGCCTTGGACACAAGTTATTCGAGAAAGTCCCATTTTACAGATAAAAATATCCGTAGTTTTTATCACGGTCAAAACTTTATATTTTAATATTTTATGAACAAGTTGATGCTCACCAACATTTCTTATGAGGGAGCAAACCGGCCTTCACGCGATTGTAATTTGGGAATAAATAAATGTTTATTTCGGCAATGACATCGTCTGTACAATAAAATATTACAAAGGGAAGGACAAAAGTGTAGATAGAGCGTTCGACATTATCACGAAAAAGTTTTTATGTTCCTTTCCTTTATTTAAGTAATTAAAAACAAGATGTGCATGTGAAACACTGATTGACAGTTCTCACGTAGAATCTTTTTTTCTTGGACGTAAAAATACTGGTTTTTTAATCAGACTTCATTATTATAAATTGTTACTTTTTAAATGAATGTAACATTTCCGCCTGTTCCAGGGTTTGTTACAATGAAAATAAGTTATTGTGGGTCTCCTGTTTCTGAATTTTACCCTTTTACTCTAAATGAAAAGTCAGGTTGCAAATTTATAAAATTTATTATGGTGCAAACAATGAATAACAAATAACAATAAGATAATTGGCAATTAGGCAATAATAAATTATGGGTTACCCGACAATAAAAAGGTATCCGGCTCTACCGGGTTACCCAAATGAATTTATAAACAATGAATCAATTGGGTATGGATCTGCCGGGATTGGCATCAATGAATCAATTGGGTATGGATCTGCCGGGCGTGGCAGATTGGGTTTATTTACCCAATATGGGGGCATCAGATTTTACCCACTTCTGGGGAGTTGGGATTCTCTGAGCTGGTCAGATGTTAATGAGTCTGACCAACGTCCCAGACTGAAGAAAAAGTCCAAAGTGCCTTCTTTATATACCCTTTCATCACTAGTGCCGAATTAGTTCACGTGCGAATAACCAGCGGTACTGCCAGTATTCGCGCGACGTTTGTATGGTAACACAAACAACTTTTGCATCAAGTAAAGGCTTTATCATTACAAATGCGGGAAAAAGGATGATCTGATGTTTGGGAATTGTTTTGGTAACGATGCCAAGATGGATTTGGGTACCTTGATCGAATAACAATGCCAGACGGCCATTTGCTATTACGATTGGGCTGGTATATGGAGGAAAATCGGGTTTGTACATTACAACGAAAGGATATCCATGAAATAAACATATACAATGAATTATAAAGCATACATTAATGACATATGATGATTGGTAATATTCCCATGATATCTACAAATAAATTTACGATACCTAGATTAAATATTCAGGACATAAATTGGGGTGATCCAATCTGTGGGTTATTTTGGTCATGGGGGAAAATTCGTAACAGAGCTCCCCCTCCATGAAAACATTCGTCCCGAATCAAATCTCAATTTTGGGACTGTATTTCATGGGAATATTGTCATGAAAAGTAACATTTGCAATATGAATAAACATAATCAGGGGCCACAAAAATACATACATAGCAATAATAACAATGTGGTCAATAGTTATGAATCATAGTTATGAATAACAATAATATGAGTAACAGTTCATCAATTATCAATACATCTACTTTTACCAAAATGTTTTTGTTCATCACAGTTCATCGCTTCTTACCAATCCTGGATCCATTGAAATAGAAAAGTCACGATGGAGACACACAGATCTCGATCCACACAACAAATATTCACAATTATTATACGGTTCACAAAGTTATACGATATAGTCCTTTGAAATATCCAAAAGGTTCAGTGCACGTCCGTGTATTACGAATCCAGCGTCATTGCGAAATGTCCAGGATCAATGTCCGGAAGTACATCATACGGTTTGGAAGGCTTCCTCACGGCAAGGTATGAACTAGGGATCATCATGTCTAGGTTAAGTGATGGGTATGACACATATGATTTTCCAACACCATTTCGTAATTTTTCATTGTTGGGGTAGGATAAGTTCGGGGAACTTGTTAGGGCTCTTTGGAGTTTGTCGAAAGCTTCATGGCAATTTTCATTCAAATGGAACTCTTGCTTTGGTTCATTCATAATTTCTTTGGGGATTTTCTGAACATTAATACATTGCAAGTGGTCTGGATATTGGGGGTTGAGCTCTTGGCTAAGAGCATTAATGGTATTGGTATTGACTGAGTCTTCCAATACGTCTAGTATTTTATCATCACATTTGACTGTGGCACTTATGGTATTCTCATATAGTTTGCTACTTTCATCTTTCATATTCATGTGACAAACTGTGACTTCTTTGTCTACAGTTACAGGGGTTTGGGGAATCATCAATTCACATTTCTCAACAAAACTCTGGTTAGGTTCTTTTATTCCAACCTCATCCATAAATAAAGGGTTATCTACCTTTGTAGGAGCAACATAATCACAATGGGGAGGATTTCCAATATCCTCAGCAAGACTTATCTTGCCACAAGACACAATTTTTACACAAGATTTACTAAAGCAGGGAATGTCTAGACCCTGTATCTTTAGTTTCATCTGTTTTACAAAAAGGTCACATGAATTCTGAGTCATAAAATCTAGTCCCAATATGCATGGGTTTTGTATATCGGCCACAAGTACTTTATGGGTAACATGAAAATTTTCTAGGGATATTTTGATTGGGCATTCTCCCTTAACTGGGATTGCATCACCACTTGCAGATGTAAGTTTGATAGACACTGGGGTAATTTGGGGCTTTTCCATAGTATCTAAATTTTCAAAGAATTGGGTACTGACAATAGTCACACTAACACCAGTATCAACTAGTACATTTGTTTCTTTATTTCCAATTTTTCCAATAACATAAATTCCATCATTTCCCCCGTTTATATCTCTCACTAAAATTTCTTTGGGGATAGGTTCAGTACAAAAAGGGATATCTTTCTCGGATTCAAATTCTGTTTTATTTTCAATATTTGGTTTGGGCTTTAGTGAGAGAGGTTGAGCCATATTTAATGGCAAGTGTTGGGGCCTGCCCCTTGAACCTGTCGACTTCCGACCCCCGAATTCGACGCAGGGTAGTTTCCCTGGTTTTGAGGTCGGAATTGATTTTGACTTGGGTTCTTGGGGAAATTTTTCCAATTGTTAGAATTTCCTTGGTAGGGTGAAACCTGGGGTCTTGGTCCATAATTTGTTGGTCTATTGATTTGATAGTCGGGATTGACTGAGTTTTCATATGAACCCATATTGGAATAATTCTGATAGGGGGTTTGGTATGAGTTTTCATATACATGATAATGTGCATATGGGGTTTCTGCCATATTTTGGGTAGGCATTTGACAATTTCTTACTAGAGCTCTGATTTCTTGGGTAAGAGATTTAAGGTCATCATGCAAGCTTTGAATGGGTTCTGTTTGGTTAATGGCATGGACAGTTTTATTTCTTTGGGCGTCTGCCAATCTATAAGTTTCCAACCGAATGGCCAAAATTTCAGCTTCATTTATGTCTTTGGGCCTTGCCTCTCTTAATCGGAGACGGATATCAGGGTCAGGTAGGGCATCTATGAATTGTTCTAGGGCTAAGATACTTAGCACACTTTGATCGGTAGTTGGGTAGGCCTGGCGGGTTAATTTCTTAATGGATTGGGCCAGTTCAGATATGGTTTCATTGTTTCCCTTAACCCGAGTTTTAAGTTGGGCTCTAAAAAGTTCCGCTCTTTCTACAGAACCAAATCGTCTGTTTAAAATATCCACTAAACACTTGTAATCTGTTCTTTGGGTTTCATTTAACTCAGTGAGCAAAGCTCTGGCACTACCTGCAAGGCTGCTGGCTAAGTAGAGGGATTTTGTTCTATAGTCCCAGCCATGCAAGGTTACTAGAATTTCAAAATGGGCCAGGAAATCATTTAAATCCTCTGACCCATCAAAATCTTTTAACTTTACGGGTGCGTTGGATTTAACAGACACTGGGTAATGGGTTCTGTTTTCTTGAGGAGTTGAAAACTCATTTATTGGATGGTCATTCATGGAAATGGACCGGGGGCAATCTTTGGACCTAAATGAGACAATGTAGGGACAATTGGACTCATTTACATTGTTGGTTTTGGATTGGGTTGTATGTGACGGGGCACTGGGACTGTGATGATTGTCTCCCCTGTCACTATATAATTTTCTAAGTTCAGCATTATCCCTTTGCATGATTTCATTTTGTTTTTCAACATGCTGAAATTTCATTCTCATTTCTTGACTATCTTGTTCAAATTTGGATTTCATATCATGTAACATTGAGAGAATAACATCAAGTTGATTATCTCTTGCAGGTACATGTAGCATTGAATTTGATGCCGGCATGGAATGGTGATTTGGGATATCCGGGCGGTCATGAGAATTAACATGAACATTGGGTGAAATTGGGTGCGGTTTAAAAGTAATTTCAAAACTTTCATCCGCCTCCATTGTACAAAATTTGTATCCAAAAGAAAAATTTGAAGTAATAAAAATTTACAAAAATATTAAGAAATGGTTTTGTTTTTTTCTTAGGGTAAACAAAAACAAGATATAAAAGATCCCACTTCTGACACCAAATTGTAACGTTTCCGCCTGTTCCAGGGTTTGTTACAATGAAAATAAATTATTGTGGGTCTCCTGTTTCTGAATTTTACCCTTTTACTCTAAATGAAAAGTCAGGTTGCAAATTTATAAAATTTATTATGGTGCAAACAATGAATAACAAATAACAATAAGATAATTGGCAATTAGGCAATAATAAATTATGGGTTACCCGACAATAAAAAGGTATCCGGCTCTACCGGGTTACCCAAATGAATTTATAAACAATGAATCAATTGGGTATGGATCTGCCGGGATTGGCATCAATGAATCAATTGGGTATGGATCTGCCGGGCGTGGCAGATTGGGTTTATTTACCCAATATGGGGGCATTATTAGTTATCCAGGTTCAATCAAGGGTGTACGGGGATTTACCCCGGGTTTTATTCCATACACCCTTCGGCAAAAAGGTATCCGGCTCTACCGGGTTACCCAAATGAATTTATAAACAATGAATCAATTGGGTATGGATCTGCCGGGATTGGCATCAATGAATCAATTGGGTATGGATCTGCCGGGCGTGGCAGATTGGGTTTATTTACCCAATATCAATTGGGTATGGATCTGCCGGGGCGGTTACCAAATATTGGTAATGGGTTATTTCCTTTATACCCATAAAAATGCTTTGTAAACATCAGAGTGTGTCTCAATCTATCGATTAGATAACTATCATAGAGAATGTATGCACGTCACGTTTTATTTACACCCGGCTCAAGTCGGGTGCACGGATATTTACACCCGACTTTGTAACCAATCAAAGCTCGTGTTACAAGCTAGATAGGAAATAACAGATTTTACCCACTTCTAAGGAGTTGGGATTCTCTGAGCTGGTCAGATGTTAATGAGTCTGACCAACGTCCCAGACTGAAGAAAAAGTCCAAAGTGCCTTCTTTATATACCTTTTCATCACTAGGGCCGAATTAGTTCACGTGCGAATAACCAGCGGTACCGCCAGTATTCGCGCGACGTTTGTATTGTAACACAAACATTTTTTGCATCAAGTAAAGGCTTTATCATTACAAATGCGGGAAAAAGGATGATCTGATGTTTGGGAATTGTTTTGGTAACGATGCCAAGATGGATTTGGGTACCTTGATCGAATAACAATGCCAGACGGCCATTTGCTATTACGATTGGGCTGGTATATGGAGGAAATTCGGATTTGTACATTACAACGAAAGGATATCCATGAAATAAACATATACAATGAATTATAAAGCATACATTAATGACATACGATGATTGGTAATATTCCCATGATATCTACAAATAAATTTACGATACATAGATTAAATATTCAGGACATAAATTGGGGTGATCCAATCTGTGGGTTATTTTGGTCATGGGAGAAAATTCGTAACATGAATTTTATCAATTGTTTTTTTTTTTTTCAGTCATACATAGTCTCATTCCTTACGACAGTTTCTCTAGTCTCAGGGTACCAAAACTATACAATTGTAACAAGGCTTGGAAATATTACCGGCTTAGTTGTTTCTACAAATGGGGGTAAAATCTTCAGATTCACAGGAATTCCTTTCGGCAAAGCACCAGTTGGAAGCCAACGTTTTCTCAAACCTGAAGCATATGGTTCATGGAACAGAACTTTTGACGCCACTAAACTTGGACCTGCTTGCATGCAGTCATATATCGGCGCTAGTATATATGACAATAACTTATCGGAAGACTGTCTCCAGCTGAATATATATGTTCCGTATAATGTAACTAAAGATGTGAGGAGAAGTGTTATGGTTTATATTCATGGCGGGGGATATATGACTGGATCGGGTATTTCATACGATGGTTCTAGGATAGCCACCCTTGGTAATGTTATTGTTGTAACAATAAATTACCGTCTGGGCATGTTTGGATTTCCATCTTTGCAAAACTCTGGCGTCATTGAAAATGTGGGATTGTGGGATCAGATATTAGCTTTAAAATGGATCAAAAACAACATAGATGATTATGGAGGCGATCTGTCTAAAATAACAATATTTGGGGAATCAGCTGGGGGATTTTCCGTCAATTTTCAGATGCTTATACCCCGTAATAAGGGTCTTTTCCATCGAGCAATCATTCAAAGCGGCGCAGCCAACGCATTAGCTGCAATAAAAAAATCATCTACTGTTGGACGTCTGATAGGAAAGAACTCTGGTTGTAACGATCAAGACCAATCGATGTTCTTGCGATGTTTGCGAAATCTGGACGCCGGTGTCATTGTTAACAAAACTGATGAATTTTCTGCAAATCTTGGCATTGACGTCTTTTCCGAAATTGTATTTACTCCAGTAATAGATGGCGACTTACTACAAAGAACTCCTATGGAATTAATTGAAGATAAGTCTTCGAAAGAATTTCAGTTCTTTAAATCTATTGACTTGATAGTTGGAAACTGTGATATGGAAGGGGCATATGTGGTTCCCTTAGGTAAAGCTTTCGAAAAACAATTTAATTTCAATATGTCAGACGGAATTCCAAAACGATTTCTTTGTGATGGATTAATATCCAAAATTGCTCAGACTTACTATAAAAATAGTTCGTCTATTTCTGATCTACTATGTCAAGAATATGCAAGTGAAGACAGAACTACTCAGAGTTTGAATGCTGTTCATTTTTTGACGGATTTTGTGTTTATTGCACCAGCTGTGAACCTTTTACAGTCCCATGCCTCAAGCAAGTCCTCCTACACATATCAGTTCATATTTTCGGAGGACGTACAGTTGTTTTATCCAAATTTGCCTTTATGGTTTCATGGGGCGGGACATGCAACAGAACTGATATTTTTCTTTGATGCTAGAAATATGACAGTTACCAATTTTACACTATCTGCTATTCAGAAAACTTTCGCAACACAACTCATTAAGTACTGGACAAATTTTGCAAAATCAGGGTAAGAAAATTATTGTGTCGAAGGATGATTATTCATTTGAAACACGATAATGCATTCAATATTTATATAACAAAAATGTACCAATTCAAAGTTGATCTCTCCTACTCATTATTCAAATCTCCGTAGCTAAAAATAATCTAAAATAATGCATTTTTTTTTTATGTTTAAGATACAAGTAGGTTGTTTAAATGTTTCACAAACGGTCACAGAAAGAAAAAAATAAAATATCATGAAAGATGCAATTCAAACTCATTGTGATCTTTTCAATACTTTGTGTAACGAGAAAAATATCCTTCCCGGGATCCTTCCCGGGATCAAGATCAAAAGCAAAACAGATGAGAAGTTTTTTTTTAATCAGTGAGAATATATCATGATTTAGTAGCAATAGTTTACTATGTCAACTTATCATTTTTTTTCATCAGAAATCCAAATGGTCCTGATAAGACAGACTGGTTACCATATCTTAGAAGCACAGAATCATACAAACAACTGAGTATAGGGAATAGGACGAATGGAAACCATTACAGAAAGGACTTTGTCAAACTGTGGAACACGATTAACGCTTATGAATTTGTAACGTCAGGAGGAAGATATACGCAATCGGGTATCAATTTTAGTTTGGTCGTGTTTCTTTATGCTTTAAAATTGTTTCTGTAAAGTTCCGTAGCTTGTTTATTGTAACACTGACTGTAAATTTGAAAATGTACAACTTCCAAAGAAACAAAACTGTACATGTATTTCCTATTGTTGGTTAATTTTTTCTGCAAAATATATTTCATATGAAACGACATTGTCAATGAAAGCATTTTTCTCTACAGAAGTTTGATTTTTGTTTTTCACAAATCTTCAAGACAATACATACCTTTATTGCCTCTTGGTTAAATTAAAAATGTACGAAGACATTTGTCATTCTTTTTGAATTGTCAATACTCTTTTGAGAATGGAGATAAAGAATTGTATTCAAGATCAAAAGTCCTTAAAACAATACTAAATAAGAGGAAAGCAAACACGGACCTCCAAAACAGCAGAATTGGGATCAGGTGCCATGGAAGAGTGAGCAAATTCAAACCTTTTCTAATGAAAATATAGTCTAGTTAAAAATAATATCACCGTTTTATCTCTTTTTACATATATTATTATATGATATAATTTCAAACAAAAAATGATGAAGCATCTGAAAAAAAAAATTAGAAATTCAATCTTGCAAAAATATGACAGAATACCTTGTCAATTAGAAAAGGCAAACAAATAAGTTAATATATTTTTTTATAATGTAGAATCAACTTGTCCATCCCATTGCAATTAAATTGGAAGCAGAGGAAATCTTATGACAAATAATTATTATAATTCTAGATATCAAATACATATACATATAATCATGTTTCGCACATGCCGTCATCAAAGGAATCAGTAAAATATAAAGTGAAAAAAACTAGATGTACATGTAGCTGATCCTGCTGACAGTGTGGCGTATAAAATGTCATGGAAGTCCAGTAACTCATCGACAGGCCCATTATCTCACTCGGTGAACCAAGATGTGGTTCAAAAATGTTTTCAACTTGATAAAGCGTGTTAAGCTTGAAACTTTCATTTTTCGATAGTTACAAATCAATGCTTTAAATATAATTCCTACTGGCCTTAACACAATAATGTATATGTAATTAGCTCAGTATTCTACAAAATACAATGGTCATGTGACAGTAATGCTGCTTTATCCCGAAAGAACAAGATAAAACTTTTTACAAACTCTTCTGAATTCTCTGCACAAGAACACAATGCAAGGATATTGAAAAGCTTTAAAAAGTTTGAAAAGTTACTTGAAATAACAAAGAAGGGTTCAAATTTCTTCAACTCGCGTCATAAATATGACAATTTCAATAATTCAAAATGTCGAAATCACAAAATATGTGATTCTCGTCCTTTTCAAGTTTATGAATATTCCCCGAGCCATTTGCTAGAACATTTAAAAAACCAAAATTACACATGGAAGAATAACAAAATTTTTCAATCTTCGTTCGGGGCAAAAGAAAAAAGTATTATTCAAAATATTTTATCAATGGCATAATGCAAAATCCAACTTTATGGGAAAAATGTTATATTAATTAAAATATTTCTTTTCAATTTACCATTCAGAAACGGTTTATTGTAAGTTCAACTGTGTAGGTTTTTTTCAAGTTATCTTCACTCTGTCTATGGAGAGACAACGATCACTTCGAACACAACCGAGAAATGTAAATAATTCCATATCACAAACCTGTATATTTCACCATAAGCTGAAGGAGGAAATACTTTCAAAGGTTACCTTACATATATCAGGTACATCACTAGAGTTGTGGTATTTAATTTATCCACGATATATACAATTTTGTTATCGCTGATGAAAAGGCAAACATTTGTTAACCCGAACCTGTACACTAAGATATCCAATAAGATAGAGTTAACTTGAAACGATGTCATTCGTAAGTATAATCTTTGTATTGTTGCTGCGCATCAAAACATTAACTTATTTTGTCTTTAACTCTTTGTCGTAAATTATTTATACATCATTCAAAATCTGCTTTTTTAACTTACTGAACTTTTATTTATACATATGTAAAACAAAATTTTAACCAACATTTTAAATCCCATGTTATCAGATATTGTGCATTAGTCGAATGATGTATATAGATATAGAGAAATTTAATTTAGTTTACAGTGTAGGTATCTGTTGACGCCTCTAAAGGAGTGAAAAAATTCTCAAATGGGACGTAAACAGCACACAATCAATCAATCAATCAATCAATCCAAGTTGATGTTGGAAAAATGTGAACTCTGTATTTATTGCACATATTTAAAATGTGTTTAAAATGTGCTAATGTTCTTAGGTTCACTTGGACACCAGTTCCTTGAGTTTTTTCATTGTTTTGACGTTCCTCTTGAGAATATTTCATTCATATGGAGACGTTTGAGTTTTTTTTAAAGTTTAGAGATTAAAAAATATACAAAGTTTATGATTGGGTCAAAACTATGTCACACAAATGTAAAATAAAGGTTAAATTTGTCATATTATTGAGGATGACAAATCTTTTACCTAAGATATATGTATAATATTGCTATTCCATAGCAAATTACGTAGTAAATGCTACAGGATTTGTTTGTGAATCACTGATATCTCGCATAAGAGCTCAGCTCATAGACAAGGTCAAAGTTAATCGAATGCAAGTTAAACTCCGAGGTCAAGGTCATGAGATAAAACCTAAAGATCTTCACAGAAAGGAATAAATCAGTGTAATATGAAGTATTAGCACAACTGTTTAAATTATAGATTCAAGGTAAGTTTATAAAAAGGTATCCAAGGTTCAATATTTTGCAAACAAACAAAATGACAGACACTCCAAAAATTAGATGTGTCCCAATATCAATTTAGAGAGGAAAATATTGAATTGTTTTGAAATAGACTTTCTTCATATTTTTTTCATTATACAGAAATACATTGTCCTATTCCTTTCGGGAGTTGCCCTGGTCTCCGCATACCAAACCTTTACCATTATTACACGTCTTGGAAATGTGAATGGCTTACAAATTCCTACAGCAAAGGGTGATATCTTCAGATTCACAGGAATTCCTTTTGGAAAAGCACCAGTTGGTAGCCAACGTTTCCTCAAACCACAGCCCTTCGGTTCTTGGAACAAAACCCTCGATGCGACAAAAATCGGACCTGCTTGTATGCAATCATACACCCGTGCCAGTGCATTTTATAACTATTTTTCAGAAGACTGTCTCCAGTTGAATATATATGTTCCTTATAATATTACTCAAGATCTGAGGAGAAGCGTTATGGTTTTTATTCATGGCGGGGCATACATGGCCGGATCAGGATTTACATACGATGGTTCTAGGATAGCCTCTCAGGGAAATGTAATTGTTGTGACAATAAATTACCGCCTGGGTATGTTTGGTTTTCCATCTTTGCAGAACTTTGCAGGCGTTGCTGAAAATGCCGGAATATGGGATCAGATTTTAGCATTGAAGTGGGTCAAAGACAACATAGATGATTATGGCGGAGACCCATCTGATGTAACAATATTTGGGCAATCAGCTGGTGGATTTTCCGTCAATTTTCTAATGCTTATACCTCGTTGCAATGGTCTTTTTCATCGTGCAATCATTGAAAGTGGCGGAGCAAATTCTTTAATTGCTATGAAAAAATCATCAAACGTTGGACACGAAATAGGAAAATTATCTGGTTGTAATGACCAAGACAAATCGATGTTCTTGCGATGTTTGCGAAATCTTGACGCTGGTATTATTGTTAACATAACTGATGAATATTCTGCAAATCTTGGCATTGGAGCTTTTTATGATATTGTATTTACTCCAGTACTAGATGGTGACTTACTACAACGAACACCTATGGAAATAATTAACGATAAGTCTTCAAAAGAATTTCAGTTCTTTGAGTCAATTGACTTGATAGCAGGCACCTGTGATATGGAGGGATCATATGTTTTGATCTATGGTAAAGCTTTCGAAAAGGAATTTAATTTCAATATATCAGACGGAATTCCCAAACGATTTCTTTGTGATGGGTTAATATCAGGACTGGTTCAAACTTACTATGAAAATAGTTCATCAATTTCTGATTTACTATGTAAAGAATACACGAGTGCAGACAAGATTACACAAAGTTATAATGTTGCACATTATTTGACCGATTATTCGTTTCTTGTACCAACTATAAACATGTTACAAGCTCATGTCTCAAGCAAATCCGCCTCAACTTATCAATTCATATTTTCGGAACAAGAACGGCTACTCCTTCCCGGTTTGCCGTCTTGGTTTCATGGAGCGGGACATGGGAATGAGTTGATGTTTCTTTTTAATGCTAGAAACTTGTCAGTTTTACCTTCTAATTTTACTTTCTCTCCGGAGCAAGCGGCATTCTCATTACAGCTAATTGAATACTGGACAAATTTTGCGAAAACAGGGTAAGAAAACATATACATGTATTTGTATTAAAATATGTTATTTTCATATTCATTGTATGTACTGTAAGATATCCTCACTACATGTTTTAATGAAAAAAATATACGGTAGAAAAGGAAATTGTAGTTTCTTTTAGAATATATTTCACTGATTTTAGGTCTCACACAAGGAAATAATTTCACTATATATTACTATATAGCTTGAATTAAATTATTTAATTTTTGACTTTGCAAAAATGTTTTACAAAGAGAAAATAAAGATTAATGCTTAAACAAAAATTTGAGATCAGAAAAAATATGCCTTATGCGGCTTTTAAGTAAGAAAATCGACAGTAATCTTACCTACCCCGAAATGCACGTGGGATTCACATGTTGACAAACAGCCTACACACCATCCAGGAAGTTGCATCATGCGCACCTGAAAAAAGAGTTCCTTTTAATTCAGTGGGATAATTCTGCTAAAGAAATGATATTCCTAGTACATGAGTCCAATTTTAATACTGTACGCCTAAAACAAATTGACTAAGTTCATTTTGATTGGCTATTTCCTTGCGTAAGACCTTTCAGCAACGCAAAAGAAATATAAACTGTAGTGTATACAAAAAAATTAATTACTTGTATTGAAATTTTTACTTACGTTAATAATTCACAAATGGTAAATTCAACCTCGTAAACTTTATTGCTATTAAACTAGAAAAAACATAATATTAGAACATTGTGTATACTTACTTAGTGTTGATATTTTTTTTCAATCAGAAATCCAAACGGTCCCAACAAACAAAGAGAGTGGCTGCCATATCTTAGTGACACAGAATCATACAAACAACTGAGCATAAAGAATATGACGAATGGTAACCATTACAGAAAGGATTATGTAAAACTATGGAACACGATCAACGCTTTTGAATTCCTAATATCAGCGGGGGTAAATGTGCAATCTGGAATGATTCTTAATTGGATTGTACTTTCGTATGCTTTAAAATTGTTTCTGTGAAGTTCCTGTACTTGCTCATGGAAATAATTACTTCAGTAAATTCAAAAGATTTAAAATATTACTGGAAACAAACATTATCTTTATGATCCTAATATTTGTATTTTTCGGAAGCAACTCCATGTTTCCAACTTATATTTGATATTAAATGACACTGTCACTCATTAGTGCAATACATGTACAAAGTACAATATTATAAACAAAAGAAGAGGTCTATAATCAAGAGTAGAATTTATCAAAACATCTGAGTTTTTAAAGTAATTGGAATTTAAGGACATTTTTTTTTTGTAAATAAATCACTTTTAAGATCTATTGATCGTAAACATTGAGCAGTAATCACAACTTAAATGTGTTATATTGTATAACTACAAGAATATCTTCAACAATCCGGTGTAATCAAGGTTTGTAATGAACGATAAAAAAGTTTCTATACATTAGATTACGGTACATATTACTTATTATTATCGATCATAATTACACAGTCATTATGATTGGTTTAGAGCATGTCACGCGAGGTGTGACAATTTGTGATGTCTCCCTCACGCGCAGGGTGACAACTGTTTTCACCCTTCAGATGATAATGAAATAGCTTAAGCGAGTATGCACAGTTACAAGTGTGTTGTCGCCCTTTGAATGAAATTAAAGTGGTTTAAGGAGATAACTCGTATTTAAAATCATACATGTGTAAAACTTCTTGTGTTCTCCTTTTCTGCTCTGATTCCATACTTTCGAAATATATCAACAGACAACTTTGACGTCATCGTTAGAATTTTTTGTTTACAGATCCTGCATATTTAGTAATTGTACACTTATAATTATACATGTACACTGGCTAAATATGCGGGATCGGTAAACAAAAATTTCTAACGATGACGTCAAAGTTGTCTGTTGACATATTTTGAAAGTATGGAATCAGAGCAGAGTAGGAGAACACAAGTGGTTTGATTACTACTTTTGACACTATTTGATAATTTAGATTCGTCAGGATAATAAAACATAAGATTAGAACATTTTGTTTACTTATTTATTGAGGATAATAAAACTATTATGGACTGTTTAGAGGGAGATATCACGCTTATCACATAATAATGGTACTGGAAAATCATCTTGCTAATAATTAACCTCACAGGCAGGTTAGAGCAATTGTTGTTTTCCAAGCTGTAAACTGAATAATTGATTGACGGCAATTACACAAATAGAATTTAATTGGATAATAGTTAATTGCCCATTGTTTCGAAAAGTCCGGCGAGACTGATATCCTCTGTTTTAAGAGTATAAAATCTATTTTCAAAAAACGGAGGCAGTCATACCCATCATGACTTGCGGTTCAAACACCTCACATGAAAAAAATTGACACCAGGGAATATTTTTTTAGTGAGATACGCGCAATAATCATGCCTTGTGTTTATGATAAGCGTATCAATCTCAGATTACTGCATACTTTTCCAGTGGCAAAAACTTTATCTCTAAATTGTTTCTAAGACTCTCCAAAAATACAAATGTATTATTCCAAATGGTCTATCAATATCATAGTACAAAATCTAACTTGCTCATATGAATAATAAATTTATTATTATATTTTTAATCACCAAAGACAAACGGTTTATTCTTAGTTCAAATGTAAAGGTTTTATAGTTATCTCCACTCTGTCTATTGACTTACGCACACAACAGAAAAATGTAAATACGGGGCACAGTCAAATATTTTCATTTGGGGCACTATTAACTTTCAAAACCTTTGAAAAGCAAAAACAAAAGGTCATCAGATGTTTTCCTTCAGGCATCACGACCATATAGTAGCTAAGTTTTCTATAGTATACTATATATCGGCAAAATTATTGGGGGCACACTCCCCAATGCTCCCCCCTCCCCAGTTTCCTATTGTCATGTTCCATAACGCAAACCTTTCTGTTTCACTATTAGGATGAATGAGAAAATGTTTGCAAAGGTCACTTTATACTACTGATGTAGTGGTATTTAATTTATTCACGAGAGATATAATGTTCTTATCACTGAAAGAAAAGACAAACATTTGTAAACCCGAAGTACACGAAGCTATCCTAAGGACACCACTGACTGAAACGATGACACTCGTAAGTACAAATTTATCATTGTTGCACATAATTAACTCATTCTGTCCTTAACCCTTTGTCGTAAATAAATCATATTTTTTTCAGTCTGGATTTATAACTTAATGGACTTTTTCATTCAAATATGTAAATGATTTTTTTACAACTATTTTAATTCCGAGGATATCATTTATTCTGTATGATGAATGATGTATTAAACGAATTTAATTTAGGCTGTTGGCTTGATTTCGGCTTTGTAAAGCGGTATGATACAATGTAATTCATTGAAAATAGATTTTAACAAAATCATATCTTAATAGGAGTAAAAATCTGACAATTTCTCTTGCAATGAAGTTCCTTCTTCTTTATTTATAACTTCGGACAATTATCAAGTTCTTGTCAGACAGAAGTTATTATTCATAAGGAAATCGCAAATTGCTTTTTCCTTTTGACCATCAGATTTTATGTTGTTAATCAAACAATATCTCACCAGGTTCGAAGTTGATTTTTAGAAAATGTGAAATCTACATATTTGTAAGTCAGTAAGCTACTGATCTTAGATTGACTTGGATACAAGTTCCTTGAGTAATTTCAAGTTAACAGATTAAAAATAAAAGTTTATATAGTTCTTGGTCAAATCTTTGTCACACAAATGAACACAGGGCTTAAACTTCGAACTGAGGGCGATATGTCTTTGACTTTGGTTTTTATAGTAGCTCATGAACAGGTTTAAAGTTAATCAAATGCAAGTTAAATTCCAAGACCAAGGTCATGAGATAAAATAATGTATAACCCAAAGATCTTCACACAAGGAATAAATCTATGAAGTATTAGCACCGACCGCTCAAATATGAGTTTCAAGATTACATGTATGTTTATAAGAAGGCCGCCAATGTTCAATAGTTTACAATCAAACAGATAGCCAGACGATAAAAAAAAATATATCCCCACAATTTCTATATTATAGAATATTATATGTACATTTTTGAAATAAGACTTTGTCATGATATCTTTTTTTATTTCTTCAGCAATACATACTTCTGTTCCTTTTGGCAGTCACTCTGGTATCTGCGTACCAAGACTTTACCATTATTACAAGGCTTGGAAATGTAACTGGCTTAAAAATTCCTACAACAAAGGGTGACATCTTCAGATTCACAGGAATTCCTTTTGGCAAAGCACCAGTTGGTAGCCAACGTTTCCTCAAACCTCAGCCATATGGTTCCTGGAATAGAACCCTCGATGCGACAAAAATAGGACCTGCTTGTCTGCAATCATTCACCCGCGCTAGAGCATTTCATAATTATTTTTCAGAAGACTGTCTTCAGTTGAATATATATGTTCCTTATAATATTACTCAAGATATGAAGAGAAGCGTTATGGTTTTTATTCATGGCGGGGCATACATGGCCGGATCAGGTTTTTCACACGATGGTTCTAGGATAGCCACCCATGGTAATGTAATTGTTGTGACAATAAATTACCGCCTGGGTATGTTTGGTTTTCCATCTTTACAAAACTCTGGAGTTGTTGAAAATCTGGGATTATGGGATCAGATATTAGCTTTGCAGTGGATCAAAGACAACATAGATGATTATGGTGGAGACCCGTCTGATGTAACAATATTTGGGCAATCAGCTGGTGGATATTCCGTCAACTTTTTAATGCTAATACCTCTTAACAAGGGTCTTTTCCATCGTGCAATCAGTGAAAGTGGCGGTGCAAATTCTTTAATTGCTTTCAAAAAATCGTCTACTGTAGGACGTCTGATAGGAAAGAACTCTGGTTGTAATGATCAAGACCAATCGAAATTCTTACAATGTTTGCGACATCTTGACGCTGGTGTCATCGTTAACAAAACTGATGAATATTCTGCAACGCTTGGAATTGACTATTTTTCTGAAGGTTTATTTACCCCGGTGATAGATGGTGACTTACTTCAAAGAACACCCATGGAATTGATTGAAGATAAGTCTTCGAAAGAATTCCAGTTCTTTCAATCAATTGACTTTATAGGAGGCACATGTGATATGGAGGGAGCTTTTGTTTTTCTCGTTGGTAAAGCTTTCGAAAGAGAATTTAATTTCAATATGTCAGATGGAATTCCAAAACGATTTCTTTGTGATGGGTTAATACCAGCACTTGTTGAAACTAACTATGAAAATAGTTCATCAATTTCTGAACTAATATGTCAAAAATACACAAGCAAAGACAAGATTACGCAAAGTTATAATGTTGTACATTATTTGACCGATTATTCGTTTCTTATACCAACAATAAACATGTTGCAAGCTCATGTCTCAAGTAAATCTTCCTCAACTTATCAATTCATATTTTCGCAAGAAGAACGGATGCTTTATCCCGGTTTGCCGTCCTGGTTTCATGGAACGGGGCATGGATCTGAGTTGATGTTTCTCTTTGATGTTGGAGATCTTATTGCCTTGTCTCCTACTCTCTCTGCGAAGCAAGCGGCATTCTCAGTACAGCTAATTGAGTACTGGACAAATTTCGCGAAAACAGGGTAAGAAAATATTTGTGGTGAAATATACAGTGTATGGTTTCTTCATATTCATTGGAAACGCTGTAATTTCAAGTTCTATTAAAATAATATATGATAGGAAAGGTAAATTTTGTTTCTTTCTGGATACATGTGTATTGTCAGTCATTTAAAAGATATGAAAAATGAATTTAAAAAACTATTATATATTATTATATTATATTATTAATATTATATATTATGTGCATTCAAATTGTAGATTGTGTAAATGTTACAAATATGGTAAACTTTTCTGATATAGAACGAGGGGAACAATAGATTTTGCGACTAACAAAAGACAAACATTTAAATAATTTTATATATTAAAAATGAGATGAGATGTCACTTATAAAGTACGATAAGTGTATTTTCTTATGAACTATTTAATTGTGGTTCTTTTTACTAACTTGGTGATTATATTTTTTTCCATCAGAAATCCAAATAGTCCTCATAAGGCAGACTGGTTACCATATCTCAGTAACACAGAATCATACAAACAACTGAGGATAGGGAATATGACGAATGGAAATCATTACAGAAAGGACTATGTCAAACTGTGGAACAAGGTCAACAGTTATGAATTCCCAACCTCAGCTGCAGATGCTATACAATCTGGAATGATTCTTTTTGGGAGTGGACTTTTTTACACATTAAAATTGTTTCTCTGAGTTCCTATAGATTCAAAAACATTTAACTTTCAATGGAGACAAAGCTTGGATTTGAAATCCTAGTATATTTTGATTTTTTTGTGAATTGTGATTTCTACCTATTGTTTGAATATAACTGGCACTATCGCTGAGTTTATGGGAAAACAACAAAATTCATCCGCGCAAATACATTATTTCATCGTTAAGACCTATAGATTACCTCTTTGGAAATTAATAAATGACAGATCACATGTTGAATATTTTTGTCAAAGCTCCAGTGACACCTTTTTTATTCATTAACAAGACAGGAGTGCTTCCATAAAGATTTTTTTCCAGAGAACCGAATCTATGTAATTAATATTTACAAACAAAACATGAGGGGCTTCCAGAAAGACTAGAATTTTTCAAAAGAAACAAATCTTTGTAATTTATCTTTCAGTGAAATTTCTAGAAAATTTTCAGCTTTCATATTTTAAAATCACTTTGAAGATACAAAGATTATATATTTTGACTAGTATAGTTGGCTGATATGTATTATTTTGTACTATTACAGGCACATTTTCAACATTCGAAATAAGCAACGACTGCATTAAATAGTGGAAAACACAGTCAGTAAAATCAAATATTTTTTGGGGGTCAGAATGTCGAGGTTTGAGTAAAATTTTTTTTTGTGGGAGAATGTTTAGTAGTAATGCATCTGAAAATCATAATTTCGTGATGGTCTTGAATTCGTGGGTTTCTCCATGCCTCGGAAGCAGTGAAAATTTAACTCCACGAAAATTAGTGATTTCACAGTAATATTGCTGATATTGAAAATTCTGAAGAATAGCGGGCAAACTTTCATCCTCAGTCAATTTCGTCCGAAAGATTTTCATGGTTTGTCAATAGTCAATTTTTTATTCTTTTTTAAATAGTAATGTTTTCCTTCTTTCTTTCTTTTTTTCTTCTTTTTTTTTTTTGGTGCTGAAAAACTTTAAAAATTCAAATTATATCTCCTCAATTACCGGTATACTGTATCATTGTCAGGGGCAAGAGGCCATAAATAGGATTATAAACAATGGTTTATTTTTCTTTTAAAAAATCAGAAGTCGTGCAACTTTTCAATTAAATTAAAAAATTACATATAGGACAGAAATACAAAGAATGTGGATTAAATGATGAATAAATAAACATTTACTATATCTTTCAGATAATGTTCATTTAATTACATCAAATTTTGCTATATGATTTTTCAAGATAAAGCTTGGTTACTTTATAAGTTGAATCCAAACGCTTACTTTGCGATTCAATATTTGTCAAAAATTACATTTCAACTAGTTATAAAAGAACACTAAAAACAGACAGCTTTTCATGGTTAGAACCTTGTATAGCGATCTAGTTGGAGCGGATCAAAAGATTTTCTTTTCATAAGAATGATTACAGTTATGATAAATTTATTTTTCTCGCAGATTTTCCTTACAATCCTTAAAAAGCAGCCTCGAATTCATCGCATGAGAAATCTTAGTCCCCGTTTAGGGAAAAAATCTTATTTTTTACATAATTTAATATCGAGAGCAGAATCTTTTTGTTGTGCATTTCAAATACGGTTAATAATATGAAGTAATACTGAATCTTCAGAGTGGAAGTAAAACAAAAATTTACAACTGTCAAATTTCAAATTAATTATTTACTTAAGGTCAAGATCTAGTCAATGGAAGGTGTCTACAGATTTTTCAAATTTAAGAAATTAATTCCCTTAATGATGCTTTATAACATTAGATTGGTCAAAATAGTTGTTTCGGGGCATAATTTGTAGAAAAACAAGATGAAAAACCATATTTTATACTAGCATTTTCAATGAAAAATTAAGAAAACCAGTATTGAAAATGGGAGTTTTTTCCATATCAGACAAAGAAAATGTATCCAGATTGCCTACAGTTTTTCTGAAAACAGTTATTTGTATGTTCTTAGTCTCTACTTTAAAATAATGTTAAATTTAAGGTAGGTATCGGGACTACTTTTTATGTGATTTCAAATTGAATTCCATGAAAATACTTTATTTTCTTCATAATTCTATTAGAGCTGTAAAGTACGGGAAAAAGAAAGTTGAAAGTGATTATGACGTCATAATGGATTTAGCACTAAAAAGTTATTCTAAAGTCATTTACTAGATCTTGACCTTAAGCCCAGTATTTAAACTTTACATTATGAAACAGAAGTGATCGGTCGCAATCCTAGTTATGAAAACTATGGAATCTTTGATGGAAAGTTCGTATCTTAGGTGACACTGCTGTGTACATACAGACCTAGTTTGTACGACTATTGCATAATTATTCAGTTCTGCTGTTAAATATGTTGAAGTTAATTTAAAAGAAAAGTCCCTTCCTAAATAAGCGTTGTAATACTGTATTTCTTTTATTTTCCTCCTGAAAATAAAAAAGCATAAAAGCTTACAATTTTTACACATTCTCTAACTAAAAAAATTACGGTGTAATCTTTTTGACTCGATGCTTACTTTTCTTGTGAACCTGGCGTTTTTACATTGTGGTGGAGGACTGAAAACACTCGGGTCAAGAATGCTAGGTACCACATTCAGCACATCAAAATTTATCATTGTGCCAGAGCCTCTCTCTGTACTCCCCACAAAATACACAGCACGTTAACTATATCTTTCAGAAATGTTCATTTAATTACATCAAATTTTGCTATATGATTTTTGATAAAAAAATAAGTTGAATCAAACTTTGCGATTCAATATTTTCAAAAATTACACAACCGGTGGAGTTATAAAAGAACTAAAAACAGACAGTTTTGATGGTTAGAACCTTGTGTAGCGATCCTGATCAAAAGATTAAGAAAGATTAAGTTATGATAAATTTAAATTCCTTACAAGCCTTAAAAGCAGGAATTCATGCATGAGAATTGACGAGAGGCGGAAAAAAATCTTTAATTATTTTTTACATAATTAAATATTATCGAGAGCAGAAACTTTGTGTTGTGTATTTCAAATACGGTTAATAATATGAAGTAATACTGAATCTTCAGAGTGGAAGTAAAACAAAAAATTTACAACTGTCAAATTTCAAATTTATTATTTACTGAAGCCCAGTATTTAAACTTTACATTATGAAATAGAAGTGATCGGTGGAGATCCTTTCGTTATGAAAATGTGTAACAATGTACTCGGCATCTTTCCATGTGTAAAAGTTATTTAGTGACAGTAAAAAATGTGGAAATAATTAATCTCTAGTTTGTACAACTATTGCATAATTATTCAGTTCTGGCTGTCTAAATTTGTCGAAAGTTAATTTAAAAGAAAAGTCCCTTCCTAAAATATAGCGCTGTAACATGCTGTATTTCTTTTATTTTCCTCCAACTTGGCCAAAGAAAATACAAAAAATGAATGCATAAAAGGCTTATTATTTTTATTTCTTCAAAAATTAAGATGTATTATTTTTGTCGATGCTTACTCTTCTTGTGAACCTGGCGTTTTTATACATTGTGCAGTAATGAACCTTCAACATTAGGTACCACATTCAGCACATCAAAATTTATCATTGTATGGCTTCTCTTTTGTACTCCCCACAAAATTTTAACCTGGGTTGCATGATTCTGATTTTTGAAATAAATATATTAATACTTCAAACAAATAGGTATGCCTTGGATTGAAAAGTTTGTGAACAAATTGTTCATAATATTTAGTATTCAAATACCAAGTGAAGACTGACATCAAGGCAAGTAGATAAAAACAAAATTATTATAAAAATATTTTTCATGAGAGATGTTTGCATATTTTTATTCTTAATTTTTCTCAAAGGAATTCCGGTTAAGAGCTGAAAATTTGTCCTGGAAGACTTACGGCCTTCAGCAGGAGTTTTTATTTTGCAGCACCTACTGTGAACAAGGTGTCTTATAAATTAAAAGGAGGGGGATAAAGGGTAGAGAGTCATGTTGCAAATTCCTTCCTTAAACAATCAGAAACCCGAGAAGATATTAGTTATATGCATTTGAGAAATTTAAATCTAAGTTATGACTGTTTAATTTAATTTTGCAAACATGAAGTTTTTTGAAATGATCAATGTTATATCCTTTGAGAAATTTAAAAAGTTATGAATAGCTATATTTTAATAACCTAAACATTTTCCATGTGTAAAATAAATCATTAAAAAATAAATAATATCTTTGTTTGCTTCAAGTCAATTAAAATTTATTCACATATGGACAATGACACTAAATTCATGTGAAAGATGAGAGAAGATATTTTTAGAGTAAAGTTTGTAAAAAATGTCTTACTCGTAGGTAAATTTATGATAACTGTTGTGTCGACTGATGCTGGAAAGTCATCTTTAGTGATAAACTTGTAATTCTTGACCTTATTCCAACTTGCCGCCAAAGAGCCTGTACTCAACAATTTAGCGTCATCTGCCAAATATCAAAAAAGAATAGTAGCTTTAAAAACTGGTTTTCTTCGATTAAAGGAATTAATAAAAACAGAAATGACGATTATACCTGGTACGCATTGTTTTGTCATGTTCTTTATAGTACTTTTTTGACAGCTGCCATCCAGTCCAATGTTGTATTGAATACCCTATTTATGCATAAATTAATTCATAAATTTAACATTAGTGTATTTTTTTAAAATGAAAATTCATCATAAATACTTCAAAATAAATGTAACTTACATTTTTGTAGTCGTTGATAATGGTTGTGTCGGCGGGTTCCGGCTTCGGAATCAGTGGAGTCACTTGCGTTCCTTTTAATTTGAGATACGTCCTTTGATTTACGTAATCATATGCAGTTTTTACAGTCCCATTAATATAAGAGTAAGCTGTTTTTGGTGAAACTTGATCCTTGTCGATGAACACTGTTCCATAGTCCAGGAACATATCGGCCACCCATTGATCGGGAGTGCAGCATATTTCAGAGAGGCTAAGTTGTATATTAACAACAATACATAAAGACAATATAACAATATAAACCGTGTTTATTTCAACAACCATCATTGATAACATAAAATAATCTTATATTACCTCGCATGAGATCATACAGCAGATCGTATCACTTTAAGTTGCTGATAATCAAAGTCAAAATTTTATATATACCCTAGTAAAGTATTTTTATTATAATTTTGTAGTTTTCTTATAATTGAAGAAATATATAATATGTTTTGCAGATTTAAAGGTAAAAGACAGTATTTGAAGTCAATATTTTCTCTATAATATTGTGTTATATATTAATTAGCATTTCACACAAAAATTAATTAAAAACCTTATTTCCTTTAAAAGTTGTAATTAAATTTTTTACGGGTAATTAAAAAATGTTCACTTTACAAATTACTTTCAATCCTTCAAAAATTGTAATTTGTAAAAGTGCAAGGTCAATTACAAGCACACTTTTATATAAACTCCATATGTTTGTTTGGGGTTGTTATTCTGCAAAAAGCTATCGCTTGCCGAGGCAAAGCAAAATTTCACATATTACCCTAAATATGCAATATTTTTATAATAACTGACGAGAACAGGTACTGAAAGTTAAAAAATCCCTTATATTTCAAATAGCCAATATCTGTTGTTTGTATTCATATGAAGCAGAATTTATTCAAAAACTTCTACTTGAAGATAAGAAGCTTCCTCAATTCGATATTAAGATAAATCGACGATGTATAATCAATCTACAATAATTCATTCGTTGATTTGATATATCCCTTCTTGTGATAAAATACACCACAGTGTCTGACAAATCTGTTTTACATTCATGTTGATCAAGGCCAATTTTTTCAAACTAAATTCCCTACAATTTTAAGGTCATTAACGTTTGACATCAATTACCTTTTAAAATCCAAGATATTTTATCTCACGTCTGATGTTATCAGAGAACGATCTTTTACTTCGCTCCCAAGTTGCATTGTTCTAATGAACTTCTAAGCTTGATCACTGTTCGTTATCATTACCGTAAATCTGGAAATTTTTGCTGTATATAAATTTTTAGCAAATTTGCGAGTTCATTGCATTCGCAAAAATATTTTTCTTAAAAATAAATCACCAGTAAGAAATGTAAACAAAGCAGTGGTCATTCGCAAAATTTTGAAGCGTAAAATTTAATCAACAGCATTTTGACCCAAATTCGCAAAATAAAATCGACGTAAAAATTTCCAGATTTACGGTATTTCATGTCATTTACAAAATGTTGACTGTGAATCAGATTTATAATACCCTTGTAACAATGAGTTATTTGTTAGTAGCCTACATCAGTTAAGAAATTGATAATACGGCAAGAATTTTCTTGTATAACAGCTAGATCAATTTGAAGATTGAAAACCCATAAACATCCGATGATACACTGTTACATACAGCATGGAAACGTTGCAACGAAATCGTCACGTTAATCATTTAATTAACTGTTTTACATCAATCACCATTTGAAATAGCAAATAAAATATTAATTCACATATTCAGCTGGAAGCATGCAATTTGTCTATTTTATTTTTAAATTTCTAACTGCTGAATATAGAAGGGTAAATGGGATGTATTTTCTCAGTCAACAATTTAGTCCAGGATTTCAATTTCCACTTCATTTCTCTTATCCTTTCTAACAAAGTTTCGAGGTATTCTATTTATAATGGTCTGTAATGAATTGAAATCATCTTTGTCAAATTTTAATTAGTTTTGAAATTATTTTGCTTATTAAAAAACAGGAGTTTACTAAATTTTGAATCCCCTTTCTAACCCTGAATATTTTGAAGAAAAATGTAGAAGGGTATAAAATTCAATGAGTCGATAAAGAATCATCAGAAATTGTAACAAAGTTTGAGGATAGAAGTTATCTGTCTTTGCCTATCTTAGAGTGTGTTGTAACTTAGTATGTTAAATACTGCAGCAAGTGTTACAAGAACTACTTTTAGGTACCATGAAACATAAGGAGATTACGAACAGTACTCAATCTCAACTGTCCATAAAACGATACAAAATAGGAGCAGAGCAAACAGGGACCTCCGAAACCTCAGAGGTGGGCCGATCAGGTGCCATGGAAGAGTGTGAGCATCCCCTGCCGACCGGTCACACCGGCCGTACGCTCGTTGTCATGTTTGAGAAATAACGGAAAAATCCGTCGTCACTTTAGTGTGTAAATAATTATTTATCTATAAGTATGAAAAAATGCCAGTCAGCATTTGACTAAATGAAAAAATGTTGCTGACAAGGTCATCGCATCGATCATAGAACTTACGAAATGATGACTTTAAACGAGACTGCTGATATTCTTGTATCAGCAACTTTTTTGTAAATAATTTACCTCCGTTAAGAAATTGCACATACGTAGAGCATGCTCTTCCGTATTGAATCAACAGAGAGATAGAAACTGCGTATGCAGGTGATGAAGGAACATTGCTGTATAAGTGAGGGAAGTTGACGATTTAAAAGTTAAAGACATCACAATAATTTTTCACCCTTTTATGTATCTTGGATTTTGACCTTTTTTTCATTTTCATTTTTTAACGGGAACCAGATTACATTTAATGGAAGGGGACTAGTATTGCTAATGCAATACTCTATGAATGCTTATTTAATTATATGTCTTGATAGATCTTTCCCACGTCGTTAAATGATGATTTAGTGAATCAAGGATAGGCTTTAAATCATAAAAGTGAAATAAATTTGATACACATAAAACTCAGTTTAACAGCTATTCAAATAAACTGACACTTTAAGCATAATATTATATTTCATGTTCGAAGTTACCACCTCTGTCTGTTATTAATTAATCGTCAACTCGCACATAACATTAAAAGGTAACATCTTCACTTAATTACGACGTATTAAGGTCTTATGATGATAGTTCATGGTGTAAAAAAAATACTTAATTGCTAAATTATTACTTACTAACAAATATTTCTGGCTTGAATTTCTATTTCGTATATTTCATCTTTGTTTGTATAATCTGAGTGGAGTTTTCCAGAGATAAATATCTAATTCATCACAATATCTTGATTAAATTAACTCGGTATTCAGATATCTAATTTCTTAAGATTGTAGTCCTTGACAATCCTGTTTTGTAGACATTTCATCAAAGTAAAAATTTATATAATCATATGAAAATTCACGAAGAAAAAATGGTCAACCCTTCTAGGTATGAAGAGACCCACGAATTTATGACCACCACGAAATATAAAATTTTACATACATACCGACTAAACAGTTCTCCATCAACGAAATAAAATACCCATAAACCAAGAGTTTTTCTTCAATCCACGAAAATTTGACCCCACGAAAATATGTGATTTTACAGTATTTGAGCATAGAATTTCAATCCATGCTTATGATTCTATCCTGCACAAGAAAAATCTCTTCGAATACGTCAACAAGTAAAATTTTATTATGATTCACTCTTCAAATACATTTTTTTTCAATCAATGTTGTATTTAAAAAATTAGAAACATACATGAATTTACCTGAATTGAATACATCTTCTGATTTAAACAAAATCCTATACGTTTATTTGTCCTATTGTATATACTTGCATATTAAGTAACAAATAAATGAGAGTCTACTTATAAATACATTACTAGATTATATATCAGTTGTAAGAAACCTTCTCGTATATGAAAAAAATCTTTCTAAATTTAATTTCTTTACGTGTTTTCCTTTATTTTTATCTTTTTAAGGTCCACCTTCAAAACAACCAAAATTAAATAAAATTTTCTTGCCTGACAAATAACAAAATTTCATTTCTTCTGCTTTTAAATACGTCTTATTCTTTTTGCTACGAAGTAGCGATTCTTTTTTCTCCTTTGTATTAGTAGAATTTGCATCCATTAGATATTCTCCCACTTATTCTTGCAAAAACTAGTTAATTACAATTTTTTAAAATAAAAAAGCTGTGCTTTTTGCCCCCCTGAATAAGCATTTGTTGTCTTTTACAAGATAAACAGTGAAAAGAGAAAAATACATCGACATATTTGGGCAAGGTTTCCCGATAGAATTTATAAGAAATACAATAAGTTTTAATTTAGACGTTGTAAATGCTTGGAAAGAAAAAGCAATCGACAGTAGCAGACAAATAAAAAGAACAATTTTCGGAAGCAAATGACAAATCGATGTTGATGCTAGGGGCTGGTACATTTAACATATATAGGTTAAAACTTGAACCCAACTAAGAAAGAAGATTGTCTAGAAATCATGATGTCAATACTCAAAGTAGATGGATATTTTTAAGCTCAAAATTTAATCAAAAAGCAAGCAGTTAATTATAAAGAAGTGCATGTAAGTTTGTCTTATGCTAATTATACGGAGATAGAGGGGATATATTAATGCAGTTTGTAAGTGAGTTAGCGCTGTACAAAACGGAAATTACGTAAT